CCAAAAATGGCTTGAAATTGAGCATATTTTAAAAGCAAGCGGAGTAATACGTTTTTGACGTAACTCATTGTGACGTAGGCAACTTATGTTATACGATGTAAACGAAATCTTTTATCCAATCAAATGACGTATTACAACTAAAATTAAATTATTTATGAATGAAGGGGAAGAAAAACTGTGAATTCAATGGTCTCTGCACTCCCCCTATATTGCATGCATAGTTATGATGATCAATGGTGTCTCTTCCTAAATTGCAAAATTTGTGGCCCCAGGGTCAGGAATTCTGGTGGTGGGGGAGGTGCTGTATTTGATTGTATAGTGAATATACATTATTTCGTTTAAAATCTTCTTCTCTGCACCTGGGTAATTAGCAAACAAACTTATATGATGAGCAAGGGGGCCTCTTCCAAAATTGTGAGTTTCATGGCCCCTGGGTCAGGGGTTCTAGTGTTAGGGCGGGGCTCTATTGATTATAAAGTGAACATGCAAAAATTATTTTAAAATCTTCTCCACCCCCGCTGTATATTCAATAGATAAACTACATGCATAGTTATGATGAGCAAGAGTGCCTCATCCAAAATTGTGAATTTTGTGGCCCCAGGGTCAGGAGTTCTGTTGTTGGGGGGTGGGTGGGTCTCTATTGATTATATAGGGGAAAATACATTATTTCTTTCAAAATCTTCTTTTCTATTCCTGGGTACTATGAAAACAAACTAAATGATGAGTTATGATGACCAAGGGTGCCTCTTCCAGAATTATAAATTTCATGGCCCCTGGATCAGAGGTTGTGGTGTTAGGGTGGGGCTCTATTGATTTTATAGTGAAAATGCATTATTTCTTTGAAAATCTTCTTTACTCCTGAGTATTTAGCAAACAAACACAGCGCAGAGCCATGATGAGCAAGGATGCCTCTTGCAGAATTGTGAATTTCATGGCCCCTGCGTCAGGGGTGCTGGTGTTAGGATGGGGCTCTATTGATAATATAAAGAAAATGCATCAATTCTTCGAAAATTTTCTGCCCTGCTCCTGGATATTAAGCAGATAAATTAAGTATCTTTGTACATTAAATGTTCTTCATAGACCAAGAGAGGCCAAGGTTAGAGGGAATGAGATGGGTTTACCAATAGTGCTCAAGCACTATTGTTCTGTTTATTTTACAAAATAACAGTTAAAAATGGGAGTAGGTACAGGCAAACTAAATAGACCTAATTTAAGATTTATTAAGGAGCACTATACTAACCATGTTGTTGATCCCTTATCCTTATATTTCTTGCTTTTGGGCAACATAGTTCATCTTTCAGTCTGTGTTATTTTATATGTCTATGGATCTTTTACAGTGTTGTATTATACTCAGGTGACTGTTAAGGCCTTTGGGCCTCTTGTATAAATATTGCATTCTGTTGAGCAGACGAGGTTTAACATTCGTTTTCAAGGGGTGAACATTTTCACAGTTACCGTCAGCTACCTGCAAAGTATTACTTTAGTTATACTGAACGTTTTATACAAAATACAGTGAAATGTGCGCGCATAAATACTGTATGTAGTTGAGGGTATCATTGAAAATTTTCACCCTAGGAAAACCATTGTCAACCGAAGAAGTATTTATTATGTCATACTGAATGTTTTCTACAAATACAAATAACGGTGAATATATATGGAGAGAGAGAGAGATAGGAATGTCAACGAATAGTCGACTATTCAACTATCAGTCGAACGGACCGATGTCTATGGCATGTCAAACGTTGCAATATTCGATCTTTTGCATTTGCATTGTATAATTTTCCATTTGCATTGTATAATTTTTATTTGTATTGTATAATTTTCTATTTGTATTGTATAATTTTTCATTTGCATTGTATAATTTTTATTTGTATTGTATAATTTTCCATTTGCATTGTATAATTTCTTATTTGTATTGTAAAATTTCTTATTTGTATGCGATAATTTTTCATTTGTATTGTATCCGCGGACTGTTTATTTGTTTCGTTACGAAGGATTTCATTGGTCAAGTTTCAGCCTGTATCGGGTTGAAGATGTTCCAGATGCTCAAAGCAAACTGGGCTCATATGTATTTGCTTGCTTGATTGATTGATTATTGTTTAACGCCGAGTCGGCAATATTTCAGCCATATTTCGGCGGCATATGTATTTGCGTGCATGTTAGACGGTCATTGGATTCTAAAAAGGGAGCGCTGGTAGATGGCAAATAAATAATCTGTCCTTAGTAATGCTGACTGAGAAAATAAATAAATTGACCTTGAGTGGTGGTAACTACCCCCACCCCCAAAAAACTGAGTTTTCGGGTTTGGGCGGATTTTCTTCTTTTTGTTTTTCTCCTTGTCTCTGGTCATATTGGAAATAAATATTCTCTCCTGCGAGAGAATGAAAATAAATAATCGGATTCGACACCCCCCGAGAATCAAATGGTCGTCCCTTAGCATGCACCGCAAATAGAGGAGCCGAGTTTGTGTTTGTAGAGAGTGCGCGATCGGAATTGTGGGAAGGGTACCAGATTAAGTTTGTGATGGGCACCTGAGACCTTTATACAGACTAAATTTTATGACCAATGACATCCTTCGTAACGAAATAAATAAACAATCCTCGGATATAATACAAATGAAAAATTATCGCATACAAATAAGAAATTATACAATACAAATAAGAAATTATACAATGCAAATGGAAAATATAGAATACAAATGAAAAATTATACAATACAAATGATTTTTTTTACAACACAAATGGAAAATATAGAATACAAATAAACATTATACAATCCAAATGGAAAATTATAAAATCCAAATGGAAAATTATAGAATACAAATAAAAATTATACAATACAAATTGAAAATTATACAATACAAATGAAAAATTATACAATACAAATGAAAAATTATACAATACAAATAAAAATTATACAATACAAATGGAAAGTTATACAATACAAATGGAAAAGATCGAATATTGCAACGTTTGACATGCCATAGATGTCGGATAATAAAACGACATTCGAATAAATAAATAAATGCAATAAAAGTGATAACGAGATGGAATTCTCAGTCTCAAAATTAATCTTTCCTCAGATAATTATTGAAAACAATTCGCTTAAGGACATTTGATAGTCAGGACAATCAATAATAGAATTTAAGCAGTAGTTTTCACAGGTAAATTGATATCACATGTATAATCGTTAATTGTTCGATAATAAAATTGAGAGTTTTCTCTCTTGCTTAATTACATTCTTTATCCCCTCTTCAGGCATGTGTATTATATGAAAGTATCATATGATGATACAAGGTGCCTCGTAATCAGCAAAATATTCAAGTAGAAATACATATATCTGGGAATCTGTTAAAATGCAAGATAACGTAGTCTCTATTTGTATAAAGAAAGAAAGAAAAAACATATATTAAACGATATTTATTAATCAAGATTAAACGATATTTATTAATCAAGATTAAACGATATTTATTAATCAAGAACAGAGAGTATCTTCAACCAAAATATTTGCCATAAATAACTATAAATGTGTATGTGCTGATTCACATCAATGTTAAATGAATGTTTCTGTGATTAAAAAACAATTATAAATTACCAACAGACAAATCTAAATAAAAGTGAAACAAATATAGCATCTAAATGCTGGTCCTATAAACTTTTGAATGATACCAGAAATTTGTGACATTGCGAATTCTTTTTTAAATATGACACTTAATCATTTTGAAGCCTTTATAGAAATATATACCTTGAAATGTATTTCAGTGTTATTTACATAATATTCAGAAAATTTTCTGCATAATTTTAATGACAACTAGAAATAATCAGATGCACCTTTATTTTTCTTTTCTTTTTTTTTCAAACTGCCCGAAAGAACTGAACCCATATTTGGATGATTTCGCTACGTAAGAACCGATTAACCTGCCTTTTTAAAAATGGTAAATGAATTTGAAAAAGATTACTTCAATTCAATATCAAACGAATTTTTGAATTAAAAATTGTTTTTTAAAAAAATAATTGAAATAAAACACCTCTTACTGCTGTCGTATTTCTTCAGTATATGCAACATGGTTAAATATATTGCCATCAAAAAAATCTAGTACATGTATATAATAGAAATCGTATAGAGATGTTTATTAAAAATTATCAGCTATATAAGTTTTTATTTATTGATAATCAAGTCCAGCGTCTTACACAATTTACTCGGAGGTCCCATTCAAACGTTTTTGTAAATTTACATTTCTTTGATGTTTAACACAATTTACGGATATAAACCAATGTATATTGACATTGTAGTGGATGCATATAAAATGAATTATGTACGTCATTGTGATTTACATGTGAAGGAGGGGGTCAGGCTACTTGCACAACGGAGAACACGGGTTACATGTAATATACATGTATGACCAATAAAAAATACACGATAGAATGAGTCTTGTATCAATAATACAAAATGAATGACTAAAACACTACATCAAAATAATATTCAATCAATCAGTAAGAATCGGTATCAAAGTCACTGAGAAATACAGGTTCAATAACCAGTCTCGTTGCCTCGTTAGTACCCGTTTTTCTCAAAAGCTCGTTCCTTAATTTACAAAAGACACGAGACTTGCCTAAGAATCTCTTAAGGCTCATTAATACTCTGATAAGAGAGATAACTCTTAATAGAATAAACGTCTATTATTCCTTTATAAATGTGTCAAGTTGAAATGTCTTTTCTGTTCAAATTTGCCCCACAAGCTATGCTAAAATTGTTTGCATTTTATTTATAAAATACTTTTTTTTTTAGAAAATTAAAATAATATGCGTTAAAGCAACATTTGAGTCAACAAGGATTGTGAACCTAAAAATTCAAATAAATACTAATGAGTGCTGGTTATGGGACCTGTTTCTCCCATTATACAAACATTGTAAACTCAGAATCGTCATAACTTGTTATGACAAAAACTGCATTCTCAACACAATTAATAATGGGAGAATTATTTTTTTTTTTATAAATCACTAAATATGTGTCACAATGTCAACATTTTCATCATCGTCTACTTTTTCCCTCACTTCCCCATTACAAAGGACGCCATTTTTCACCTGAGTATTATCTGCCATTTCTTCGTTATGTGACGTACATTTAGCCTGGCTACCATATTGACTGTCGAGCTTCAGACACCTTGGTCCCGACACTGCTATAGCCAAAGCCCCAATAGGGGCCGTGATAATGATGGATAATACTGCTATAGTCAGAACAATTACTCCAAGAGGTTTTAGGGTCTCATTCTGATCATGTGTGGCCTGATCAAGTGCCAAACCACCTATTGCTGCCTGTGGTGTAAAATACATGTACTGATTAAAAAAAAAACCTGGCACAAATTTAACATTTTTTGGAAACAGTATTTATGTAGTCATGAAATAAGTGTATACTTGTACCTAGAAGATATCAAAAGATTCACAAGATTTGGTTTCTTCGTTACCTGCACAGTGGCTTTGGGAATCCATGCCAGTGATACAAACAATTGCTCTTTGAAGTTCAAGCCAGATCTGAAGACAGCTACAAATGTTACTAAACATCTTATCGTTAAACCCATGAAAAGAACTGCCACTCCAAGTCCTACAAAATAAACAAAACATGTTTTGTAATAGCTGCAGGACTGTTGCTCGATCTCGGTCAGTCAAAATTGTTTTCGGAGAAAGTACAGTTCTGCAGCTAGTTTTGTAATTCAAATTTAACAAAACCAATGCCTTATAAAGTGAAGTTTTGTATCAAACAGAAATATTACCAACGATCTTAAGATTCTGTATTTGTTCTACTCTGACCGCGGCGCCAATTAATCCAAATAGTAGAGGCTGGAAGATCATCCACATCAGTCCCACGGCGTCCGTAATGGCGGCCTGTTGAAGATGTGATACTTAAGGGAATGTTATGAATGTGATGTGAATGATGATACACTAATTTATTGGAATATTAAATTTTCATGTACACTTAGTTGTAATGCCATTTGAAAATTTTGAAAATTTGAAAATTGAAAATTTTGAAGCATTTTGACATACTTACATACTGTTCGGTTGTACTTTCTTTCCTCCACCTAATTCCACAAATAAAAGCTAAGACAAGACAGCCCAAGGGTCCACCTCCGGACAAGTCTGCATATGTACTACCGAAGATCGCCAACAGCCCTCCAGTAAATAGCAAGATGACACGAAAGAAAACAATATTGGGCTTCAAAAATAGAATAAACAAAACTGCAATTGCTATGACTGGGTATGTCTTAGGTTCGTTTTGAATAACAAATTAACTGAATTTATTGGAAAAACAAGATGATTTTATACATACGCTATCTTTTGCTGGAATAATCCATAAAAAGATCCCTAAAATGACCCCATATGCCACGCCCAGCAGTGCTTCCAATGGTCCTCTTGCTATCGTCAACGCCAGGTTACCTTAGAAAAAAAAACATGGAGGGAAAACTAATTTCAGATACTTTTAAGCTATAAAGATTGAATGCTGTTTTAAGGACATACGCAACATAGTTTGAACTTTATTGTCTTTTTCCCAGGAGTTGAAGAGTTCCAAAACTTAAAAGAACTGTGTGCTACATTTTAATGTCTATATATGCTATTGTACACTTCTTCTAAAACAAGTTTGGATAAACAAAACATCTAGAATATATGTTTAGTAATTTTTGTATATTTTTCTTTGATTAATACAAGAATTTTCATCAATTGATATCTTTTCAAAACCCCTGGTAATGCATGCTGATTTTTTGTATACGAACATCTAATGACACTATAATCTTAAGTTAAGAATATCTTGAAAAATTATCAGTAGGTAAGGAACGTTGCGTATGTCCTTAAGTCCCATTCGAGAATTTTTCTCATTTAGAGACGTCACCATATACCGGTGAAGGGCTTCAAATTTTGACCTTTACTCGGTACTCAGGGCCATTGAGCAGTGAAGGATCTTAATCGTGCCAACGCCTGTCGTGACACGCGGCCTCCGTTTTTAAGGTCTCATCCGAAGAATCTGCAACTTTCACTTTAAATAAAGTGCCGAGCGCATGGCGAAGGAAGAGTTGCTACCTATTTGTTAACGACTTAGGTCAGTCACGGTCGAGATTCGAACTCACGACCTTCCGATCACGAGCGAGCGCTTAAGCTTTAAAGATAAAAAAAATGTATTTAAATAATTTTCATTATAGTACATTGACAAACCTGTAGAAAATGCAATTCCAAGAGCGATTCCAAACCCTGAGATGCAAACGACGTCATCAATGCTGGCAGCAGCAATAACTAGGGTTGGGATGCCCTTGTCCACTCCGAATCCTCTCTCTGCGAGATTTAGGAGGGAGGGTACAACAACAGCGGGAGAAATAGCAGACAAAACAAATCTATGAGAGATATATATACTTTAAGAAAGGATTTGAATAAGAGAAATCATTACTCAAACATGTACCCAGTCTTTTAATCAGATATAAATAAATGGTTTATCCATAATTTACCCTAACATAAATGCCCAATCCCATGGAAGACCAATCAGAAAATGAGAAGTAACTGCGCATGTCACACTTTCAGAGATACATGGTAAGAAGGCCAACTTGATAACTGTTCTAGATAACTTTCTGAGGGCCACCGGATCGAGTCCCAGTCCTGCACGGATTAGGATCACTGTCAACGCTATTCTCCTGGTGTTAAGAAAAAAATGGGAGTTATTACGACTTAAATTACAGAGAAAAAACTAAAGTGTGAAAAGGTATTGTCATACTTCACTATTCAAAATTATTAAAATAGTATAAGCTCTGTTCAAGAAATCGTAAAATGTTTGTGCTGCACTGTTCAAGTAACAACAGTGATCAGAAATATTCTTATTTTGTAAATTGTAAAATATTTGTGTTGCACCGAATACTAGTAACATTGATCAAAGATATATTCTTATAATTTTGTACATCTCTTTCATAATAAAAATAAAATAAAATAAACAAATAAATAAAAAAAAATGACAGACTGTTTATATGCAAAAACATTTACCTATAAATTTATTCGAGTTAAACATTTTGTCCTGCAGGTGTAAAGTCTATTGAAACGATTAGAGGAGTTACCTCGCGTTGTTTTTGGTATGTTAAAGAAAATATTTTAAATATTGTAATTAATCGGTTGATTGATTATATACTTATACAAGAAGTATCAATATATGATATGAAGATTTACAGAGAGAGTTATCTTGTTTGAAAAGAAACACTTTGCCATTTAAAAGAGCCTGTTGAATTGCAGTTTCATAGTGCTAATTTTAGTCTTGTACCCTTGTCATAAGAAATTGAAAGATCTGCCAGATGTTACAGGAAAGAAGGGGAAAGTACATTGTAATAACAGCGGATTATTGCAGGATAGTGGTAAGGAAGGAAAACGACTTGGAAATATCATAAAGGAGACGTATGTTTGTCTAGTGCCTATCTGTTTCATAAGGACATCGTTGTAAGACACCAGGAAGATGATAGTCTACTTCACAAGGACAGTAGGCAGGTGTCTTTATAACCCCTTTATATACCCCTCTCCTACAAATGTAAGCTGGAGTCTGATCAGCCGATACTTCATATTATATAAAGTAAGTTCAATTGCAAGCAATTGCTAGGGGGTTTGTTAGTCTTTGCGCATTTTTAACATTGATCACTAAAACAATACAGGGGCATCAACATGTCAACAACATGTTTTCGTCTTGGTATAAAAGGCCAAGGTTAAAGGTCAGAGTCAAAGAACGGCAGAGGAGAACATTTTTATATTGTTATGTATTTTACAAAAATGTCTTTTTAAATATGAGTTTAAGGATAAATACACTTTTGCTGTAGGGTTTACTTTAATTTACATTTGACCTTTGGCATTGTAGACCCAAATTATTTCTTTTAGCCTCAAGACCATAAACTGAGAACAGACTTAAAGGCAGAGATTTTAAGCACCGCCTTCAAAAATACCTGGTCTGTGTACTCCTGTCAATCAAGTGCATTAAAGTACTTCATTGGGTGCTTGAACTTGATTGACATTTACTTACTAGTCCCTGTGTATACCCTGTACACCTTGTTTGGCACTCGTGGTGTCCTTCAAATTAATTTTTGATCCTTTGATATTTACCACACATGGTATACACAATAGAGAAGCTATATTACTATGGAATTTTTTGGCTTGATAATATATATACACTCACATTTAGTATTTGAAATAATTATGATATTCAATATGATAATATATATATATCAAAATTAGGTATCACTTTTTTTTCAAAGCTCAACAAATACTTTAAATAATAATTTTTTTTTTCAAATGGGTGGGGATGCTTTGACACACATTCAATTACAAATTAATAAAAATTATTGAGATTAAACTTTATTTACAACTTTTTATTTTAATTTAAAATCATCTCAAAATCCCAACACAGTTAAAGTTTGACTTCTTGGGTATTCTACTGTGTATTAAATCACTTCCTGTGTATAGAGATTGGGGGACAAACGACCACAGGTAGACTGCTAGCCCTCAAGGCCTTCACACCTGTACAAAATAAGCCCCTCCCTCACCTGGAATTTACCACCCGGTAAAAAATCTCTGCCTCTCAAAATTTCAAATGAATACAACTTCTGAAATAATTTTGATACGCAAACAAAATTTTCATCTTAAGTCTGTATTTAATTGATATTATACGAACATGGAATTTTTTGAGCACGGGTGAAAAATTAAACTGAAGATATTCAGAATCAAAATTTTGACTCAAGTCTATTCTCAGTTTGAGCACGTGTGAAAAATTGAACTGAAGATATTCAGAATCAAAATTTTGACTCAAGTCTATTCTCAGTTTATGGACTTGGGACCTTAAAAATTGTAATTTCAGAAACATTTTGGCAGGATTTTGAACAACTTCTTGTGTTTGTTTTGCAGTAATAAATACAGTTATAAATTGTTTATAGAACAGAGGTGGCCTGCATCTCAACGTTGCCGAAAACCACATGTAAATGACCCCATTAAAAGGACATGTTCCTTCTACATGTGATTACCAGAGAAAATGTTTGTAAACAGTCTACATAATGAAACATGCGTCAGTAGTTCTATATTTATATCGCGAGCACATGGACACTCCTCAAGGTTTCTGTGAAAGGCCAAAAACCTTCGTCGTTCACTTCTATGACAGGTACATGTGTGACACAATTTCACAGAATCATTAACACATACAAAAGTCTTTTTCAAACTTGTACATAATATTTTAATGATAATATTAGAAACAAGACTTAATTTACATTCAAGTTCATGGCAAATATGTCACTGCAATAATTTATTAGCCCATCTTGAACACAAGCACTTAATTTTGAACTAAATTCTGTGAATTCTTATAAAAGTACACGGGTTGATCAAAAGTAATGCCACTGTATATTAATAAGATACAAGAAATAAATCAAATAAATGTATCATTTTAATTATGATTGACAGGATGGAAATTATGCTCTGGTTCATTTTAATCTTGCTAAAAAGGGGGAAAAAAGGGATGATACTGAAAGAATATTAGGTCACGATAACATAACATTTTCATTTATAATGATAAATCTGAATTAATGTGTGAATTGTGATTAGGAAAATGTAATCATTAGATTTATGTACATCTTCACAAAACTGCGATTGCGCGCACACACACACACACTTTATTACGAAAGGCTTTTTGGATCAATCTATGGAGAATTTTTTTTAAAAAGCGTTATATAACGCCTTTCCAAAAGGCGTAATAACGCGAAAAAAGGCGTCATTGCGCCTTTCTAAAAGGTGTTAGACCTCACAAGAGTATGTCACACACTCTTGTTTCAGACAATCCATCTACATGTTGACACATAGCAATCGTTATGCGGAGATCTATTAACTGAAAACATGCAACAGTTCTCAAAAAAATTTGAATGAAAATGTGTGAAGGGTAATAAAAGTACCAAAATAGAAATAAAAAATATTGCCACCAAAGAAATTAATTAAATACTCTTACTCTTATTTTACTTCAAGGTGATCCAAACTATTTCCATCATTTCGACGATTAATCTTTTCATTAGTGCTTCTAAAAGAATTCATGTAGGGATATCACACACACACAAATTATGACGAAGAAGGGTGTGTGTGGTCTGAGCTTGGGGTGGATTAGACACATACTTAAATACCATCTCATCCTATAGATGGGTTATTTTTTTCGAAGGGGTTTGGGTACACGGTCAATTTGGTCTACTTTATCTATGTAAGCTTTATAACACTTGAAAATCCAAGGGCTGTATGTATGTTTTACTCCCCCCCCCCCCCCCCCCATAAATACATGGAAGAGGCAAAGAGCAAAGAGATAGAGATATGTTTTAGGAGACACTTGCGTATATGATTGGTCTCACCGCAATCAACTCGGAAAAAGGAGATCCCAAAAATAAGAGAAAAGTGAGATTTATAAATGCATCGTTTTAATCAAAGATTTTTTATTCCAAAAGTTCGTTTTATTTTCATGATTTCAATTTGGAATAAAATTTGTCGTAGTTTAAGGCGTATCAATTTCAATATTTTGTATGTGCACAGAAATGAATAAAAAAAATGTGAATTGAATTAAAATTATGCAATTAATATTCCTACCAATTAGAGTCGAATAAATACGTGTCTAAAGGAGGAAAACGCGTAGATTCTTTGACCCGTTAAAAAGGCGTTGTACAACAAAAAGCCACATCATACTTGATCGATGGAATGATTTTGAAATGTTATAAAATATCTAACAAGCTGTAGGCGGATTATGCAATTGACTTAAAAATATTTTAATTTTTATTTCAATTAAAATAATTCATATACAATTAGCCCATAACCTCCGTCATCTTCGGGGGAAAATGGACAGGGTACATTACTAATGTATTCCAAAATTTAACATTGGATGTCCAATTTAGATTGTCTCCGTGCCGCAAAAGCATGCTTTTATATCAATGACGACCAAAATGGGAATCTGTTATGAATATCTACAATTATTATCACATTTTAACCTAGATTTTATTACATATTAAACCAGTACGATAGGAGTGTTTTCCGAATATTTTTATTTCCCAGGCCCGTAGCAACGGTTTCGAAAGGAGGGGCAACTTCGCAAAAAAAAAAAAAAAAATCTGACAAGCAAAAAAAAAAGGCTTATTTACTGTCCAGATCCTGGAATTTGCCAGTGCTCGACCTTACAACATCAAAATAAGGGGGGGGGGGGGGACCACCAGCATCTAAAGAAAAAGTTACTATAGCAACCCCCCCGGGGGGTTCTACGGGCCTGTTTCAAATATCAGAAAATGGACAGAACTTATTTTACAGCGCTTTTCTGGTGACCAACACTTCCTGTCATTGGTGAGCGTGAACATTGAGTCCTTATTGCATTATCGTGCCGAAAAACACGAATATGAAAACGCAAATCTTGAAGATTAATGCATTTTCATATTTTCGTGACAATGTAATAACGAGGAAATATTTCTAGTTATAACAACCAGTGTGAAAGTAATAAAAATAATCATTATACACATTATCATAAATAAAAGCCTTTTTTTAAATACGCGGGATTGTCAAGTCTGTTATGGGTCATTGACATAGAGTCTACAGTTAGTGATCCATCCGAATGTCAACTTACAGGTGACAGAGAAAAAAAAACACAAAACAAAATAAAAACTGTGAGAGTTAAAAATTAAGAGGGGATAAAGAAAACAAAAAGCAGTAAGAGACCACAAGACAATACAGAGAAAAGACAAGTAGTAATAGAGACCACAAAACTGTGATATAGAGAGAGGACAAATAGTAATAGAGACCTCAAAACTGTGATATAGATACAGGAAAAATAGTAAAAGAGATGAAGAGGGAGAGTAAATAGTAATAGAGACCACAAAACTGTGATATAGAGACAGGACAAATAGTAATAGAGACCACAAAACTGTGATATAGAGACAGGACAAATAGTAATAGAGAACACAAAACTGTGATATAGAGAGAGGACAAAAATTAATAAATGTGTAAAGGGAGAATAAATTGTCAAAGATACCAGAAAACCATAATATATAGAGAGAGGAGATGTAGAGGGAGGATAAATAGTAATAGAGACCAAAAGAATAGTAATAGAGATTACAAGCCTGAAATAGAGAGGAAAGAATAAAACAATAGAGATATACAGAGTGGATAAAAAAGGGTAACAGAGATCACATAACTTTGATATATTGAGAGAATAAATAGTAACAAGATGTGATATTGTTATAAAGTCCACAAGACTGCTTTGTTAAAAAAAGGATAAATAGTTATAGAGACCACAAGACTATTGAGTTAAAGGAGGATAAATAGTCATAGAGACCACAAGACTATTATAGTTATAGAGACAACAAGACTACTGAGTTATAAGAGGATGAATAGTTATAGAGACCACAAGACTATTGTATAAAAAGAGGATAAATAGATATAAAGACCACAAGACTATTGTATAAAAAGAGGACAAATAGATATAAAGACCACTGGCACAAGACCATTGTATAAAAATAGGATAAATAGTTATAAAGACCACAAGACCATTGTATAAAAAGAGGATAAATAGTTATAGAGGCCACATGACTATTGAGTTAAAAGAGGATAAATAATTATAGAGATCACAAGACCATTGTGTAAAAAGAGGATAAATAGTAATATACAGACCACAAGACTGTTGTGTAAAAAAGGATGAATAATAATGAATAAAAATGGAGACCACAAGACACTGGTATAGAAAAAGGATAAATAGGAAAATAGAGATCAAAAGACTATGATAAAGAATGGGGATAATTAGCAAAAGAGACCACAAGACAATGGTATGAAAGATAGGATAAGTAGTAATAGAGACCATAAGACAATGATACAAAATGAAATGGTAATAGAGACCATAGGACAATGATATAGAGACAAGATAAATAGTAATGCTTCAACACATATAGTTCTATGGTTGACATGATCATTGTAAGAATATTGATTGAGATAAAACTTTGAATATTTCAGAGAAGTCCTTGAGCTTTCCTTATTTTTTTAAACACACATAAAGCACACACATACTCAATATAAAATTATCTGAGTGGTTTAAAGTCATATCTAAACATGTGTAACTTTCAAAGAAAGGGAGATTGTCCCATATACTAGTAAATGACTTTCATCAAATTTACGAACTATAAATATTGTACAAATTTTCAAGAGACAGTGTTGGATTGGCCCTTTTTTGTATTGTATTATTATGTCAAAACTTCTGAACTTGACTACTTTAAGCGAACCAAACAATTGTTACCTATAAATGCATATTTTTTTTACATAATTAATCAGTCTTGTCGATAAATTACATAATTATTTTATCCATGAATAGCTAATTAAAACGTGGGATTGTTTTGTATATTTAATATGCATCACATCCTTGTTAGGCAAGGAAAGAGTCTTACCTCAACGCTCCGGACCAAACGGGAGACAAGTTATGCCCGACCAAACTAACCACAGGCAAATTACTTAAACCAAATCCCGCCAAGATCATACCTAGTAAGGTCAAATAAGAATTTCGAAAATCAGTTATTAAAATATCAGCGGTTTAATATATGAAGTAAATAATGTTTCATGTATAATATATTCATGTAAAAGTTTTTTCCTCCCCGCTGACAACAAAGTTTAAGAAACGGTTGAGAGCCTATTTTTTTTTATCTATATAATGTAATGAATAGTAGTAATTTTAAAGAATGTTTCCAATTTTTTATCAAAATGTTGAGTAGCAAATTTGAAACGAGTACGAAAAATTCATAAGGAGTACATTTATAGTTACCTGAAGCTGGTACAGAGAAAAGACAAAACAATTGTTATGTGAAGTTCATACCCAGTAATTGCGGTAAACGAATCCAGGAAAACATATATCCACCCGACACAGCACTAACAAAGAGGATTATAAGGGAGAAAAGGTGTCCCCCAGGGAGGGCCGATTTGTCTGTAATTGATAGAGTCACTGTCCAAACCATTAGCAAAAGGGCAAAAAATTGAACCATCAGTGCAAGAACACCATGGGGCTCGAATGTGCACAGCTTCCGAAATGACATTTGGTCGCTTTTTCTTACTCCTGAAACAATATTGCAAAAGCATTAACAATTTCCAAGTTTATATATAGGAGCTCATGCTGATTCTTCGTAAGAATCCAGAATTCAACTTACTTTTGACAGCGGTTGCTTATTAAGGAAAGATCCACGTGTTTTCGCATTGACAATTTCACCATATACTTTTCTTCGTTTGACCACAAAGATGGGGATAAAAATGTTAAATTTGCGCATGCGTGATTAGAATACATTTATATAAAGAATTGCTCCAAACAATTTTAGCGCAAGAAACAAAACTTCGAGTTTGAAAAATACAGGTAAGGTTCTCCTATTAAATTGTTAACAAAAATAATTAGAATGCATTAAATCTTGTTTATCAAGACGGTGTTTTAGAGTTAGAGATAAGGTCGATATTGTTATCAAAATCCTTCCGAATTCTTTGTTCAAATATTGTTTTCTTATTTTATTAATAAGTTTGTAAAAGTTTTCCCATTCTTATTTTTTTCCCCAGCGAAAGAAAAAAAAAAGGATGGATAATAACTGTAATTGTCTAACGTTTGAATGCAAGACAAAAAACTGTCCAGATGAAGAGAGCAAAACTGTATTCCATAAGATCCTCCATGTCCTCCTTCCAAATTCCAAAACCGTCAGCGATTCTGACTGCAACACTTCAAAGAAGATTTTTGGAGGAAAGAGGGTTATCTGTCCCCCTCATGGAAATTGTGCTTTGTATACGATGTTTTCCTTTATATGTGTCTCGACATGGATTATCTTGTATTCTGTTTCTAAGGAACAGTCAAGCCCAGGAGGGAACTTGTTTTCACTCTTCGTTTTGTTTACCGGAGCCGTGATTGGCGGTCATATCTTCTCCTTAATACGTTTACCCCCGTTATTGGGTAAGTTAATTGCGACCGACGATGAACAATCCAATACTTCAGTTTTTTTAAATAATAATAATTGTTTATTATTATTATCTCAACAAAGTTGGAGGGGATATAGTAACGCGCTTGCGAGTGCGTGCGTAACGGAATTAATAATTTAAATCGGGATTGAAGTGCGTTTTGCGAGGGGATGCTCCACTTTGCGGTGCCCTTGTTTGATCATATGGTTTGAGTCATATGATTAAGTCACATCTTTGTCCTAAATGTAAAATACCAGGTGTCAATTTTATTTTTCAGACTTATCAGATTGTAAATTTGAATTTATTAGGTGTAGTTAAATGCAGAATTTACATCATGATAATTTTGAGTTAATTAGGTTGAATTTACAATATGGTAAGTTATCATGATGTAATTTTGCATTTACTTCACCTATTAAATTCAAAATTTACAACATAATAGATTGAGGTATATATAATTGTTTTTCAAAGAAACAAGAAAATTAGCATAATTAAAAAAATTCAAATTGAAGCAGATATTTTCTTTTGAGTGTTTAGTAAAACATTAAATAGTAATGAATATCCCAACACAATGTTGTTTTTCTCCTTAGTTTTTGGGTCCCTAGAATGGGGGGTTGTGTGTGGAAGGGGGTAGTACTTTTTTGATCGATTTAGCTCGTGTTCTCCAACCACAATGTTTCTTTCAGGTTCGTAAAACGAGCGACTAAATAATTAACTCATTTGTTTAGCAATTCAGCGAAATTGCTCGACCAACAACTGACTGTGAAAGTACTGCGCATGGTTATTTTCGCCTTCTTACAAATGCAAACACTTCTGCATTTAACTCCGTCTTAAATTCGCCCAGAAACAAATGCGATGAAGAGATCATACTCTCAATTTCGAATTCGCTTTAAATTCGACCATTTACAATGAGGGCTAGAGGGGCGAAATTTCTCCGGATTACAGTATTAAATTTTTGACTGTGTAGTCTATCAAGTGCCTTCCGCGGAAAGCAGCTTCCGCTTAAGTAAATGTCTGCTATTTATGTGTAGATCTATACGTAGTATATGCAGATATCTTCGCAAACTTGATGAAAAATAAATTTCCACCAAATGTACATACATGTACTGTATTTTGATCATTCAACATTTTGGTCAACTTTAATTTTACTTTGAACAGGAATGCTGATAGTGGGAGGTTTACTAAGTAACGTCCCAGGTGTCAAAGTAGTAGGGTTGGCAATAGACCCGAAATGGTCCGCTTCTCTCAGGTATGTGGAAATCTTTTCAAAACAGTTAAAAATAAAAATTCTCTCTCTCTCTCTCTCTCTCTCGCTGATTCTCAAAGCAGCAGCGAGTGTTTGTTGACAGATTATTAATGATTCATTAGACCGGTGATAATTGTAATTACAACAACGTGTGCGTAAACCTGCCAACATTTGACATAACAATTTACGAAGCCAGCTACCTACATTCATTCACCAAAATAAATGTTTATATTTTTTTTTAACGTTGAAAGGAGTGAAATAATTTTGTGTTTTGTTGCTTATAAGTCGTTTCGAAAATTTGAGCAGACAAGGCATTTTATGATGCCATTTTCTTCTTAAATTTGGAGAGAAAAAATTGCTTTCAAATTCACATTTCTTGTCAAAGAAAACAGTAATAGATGACAAAAAGATTTTGAGAAAAAAGTATCAACAACGCCCATCTTTTTGCAAAGTACAATATAGCATCAAAAGGTAATTAAAAGAAATTTTGAAAATTTAAGTTAATCAAGTATTAAGATCAGAAAAAATTTCCATTTCAGTGCAAGTTTTGAAGTAAGGCTCTAGTAAATTCAAATCATTTCAACTCATGCACACATGTTAAAGAATACTTCTGCCCATGTCAAACAGAGAATTTTGATGACCATATTGAAGGGGGGGGGGGGGGACTGTACATAACTGAATAAGGAGACATCACCCTATGTAAAAGTATACGAATAATACTTAGTTAGGATATTACATAATTTTTTTTAAAAAATGATGTCATGTTGTTTTTTGAAATAAATCATTTTGTTGTTTAATGCATCGTCACTCGCTGCACTTTGCGGTACGTGGAACCTATAGCAAAGCCTTGTGAAAGACGTAACCTATGGTCTTTTAAATGTTTAATTTCTGCAATTTCAAAATGGAAAAAGTTTGCATACATATGTTGCACTAATTTTTTTTTTGGATTGATGAATCAGAGGAACGCATGTTTTAATTCCTTATAAACCTTTCTCAGCATTTTTCAGTACTCCTTACAAATAATGAACAATATTAATAAAAACTTGTACTTATACGTATACAGAAAACATTGAAATCTGCATCCAAGACCCCGTCTTTAAGTAATGTTATACAATGAGTATTACGAAACAATATATTGCTAAATGATGTACTCGATACTAAGTATTCTAAATACAAGGAGAAAAGAGAATTAAAAATGCATTTCCAACACCATTAACAACACGCACCAAATAGCACACTTTCTCCTCCATGATTTGCTCCAAGTATGAGTGGTTCAATTTTTTATTGAACTTACTCCGATTTACATGTACATGTTTAATTTATCTTTTAGGAAGGAATAATAGTCATAAATATGTTTTGAATTCCTATATGGAATACGAAATGTTAAGTTGTTTCAAAGTAAAACTTGCATCAAAATTTCTGAAAAGAAATTTAAAGAGACTGGGGGGTTGTGGCCATTTTTAGACTATATTGATCTCCTTTAGAAGAAGAGCTCCATATGAAGATATAGAAAATGATCAAATTTTAAAACTAAAATTTTTGAAATTTTTCTTTGCCAAATGATAGTTGACAGCTTAAGATATCATATCTAAAAAATTTAGTTAAATCTGGTGGTTAATTTGTGGTTAATTTGTTGACCCCCCAGCCTCCTTAACACCTACTGTTAATGACGTTAATCAATTTCCTAGGAAAATAGCACTAACTGTGATCTTACTGAGGGCTGGGCTCGGTCTGGACCCCGTGGCCCTCAGGAAACTCTCCCTGACGGTCCTCAGGGTGGCTCTGGTGCCGTGTCTATTTGAGGTCGCTGCTAACGCTGTAACCGCCAACCTTCTTCTTGCCATGCCATGGACCTGGTCGTTTATGTTAGGGTAAGAATAAAATGTGTTCTTTGTTGGTGTAAGACTCAAAAATTGTATATAGTGATTGTATAATATGGTGTAATCGAATTTCATTTTTTAAAATAAAATTAGAATGTTCAAATTCGATAATTTTGTAACTAGTATTATATTTTTTCAATATAATTATAGGATTCATAAATGTTTCAGATTTGCTTTGTCAGCTGTGTCCCCGGCAGTGGTTGTTCCTTCCCTCCTAAACCTGGCAGACTCTGGGTACGGACTAGATAAAGGAATCCCCACCCTCGTTATCGCGGCCGCTACCATAGACGACGTCTTCAACATTACCGGCTTCGGTGTACTTCTTGGAATAGTTTTCTCCCAAGGTGCTGGAAGAGTTTTTTAATACATGTATATGAAAGATAATATTTTTAAAATTGGGTGGGGGTCCTACAAAACCAAGTATTTTGTTCCCCGACTGTCATGCTACATATGTTTTATCGTTACAGCCTTGCAACTTACTTTGGGAAAACAAGATATCTTAATTATGAGATACATGTAGCTCTTGACTGCAGGAGTTATCTCTTAAATTTAGGAGATAATTCTTACGTTAAGGATATATATCTCTACAAAGAAATATCAGATATCTCTACAACAAGAGAGATATATCTTAAAGAGATTTTCTGAAAGAGAGATATCGTAATAGGTTTAAGGGATACTTTCTTAAGAAAAAGAAATATCTTGATTATTCAGAGAGATATCTGCTAGGTTATCTCCTTTCAAAATATAGATATCATTTACGCAAAAAGAGATATCCCTTAAATATTGAAAGTTAGAGCCATGTTTAGCTACAAAGGAAGTATCTCACATAGAACCAAGGTAGATATTCCCTTTCACAAAAGAGATCACTTTCATAACAAGAGATATTTCTTCGAGCAAATCTTGAGCGAATAAAACAAGCGCACGTGACCAACAATAGCTCATTTTCCATATGTCCTTTTGAATTGCCAGTATTTACTTAAAAAAAAAAACAAAGACAGGTACCGTTAGAATCATAGGGTGGAGGTTTTTCCAAAAATAAAAAAAACATCTGCTTATTAAATATAAATAATTCATTTCAATTGTTTATTGTCTAGCTGAGGAATAAATTGACATTTGTCTGCCTTCTCAATATGTACTCTTTATTTGTACAATTCGTCCTGTAATGGGCACATTCCTATGTCTGTGTTTCATTTGCTTGAGACCCTGACATTTGTTTTTGTGCTTCATTGCATTAAGATTAGAATTACATTTCAATATTGAATTATTTTATAGTAGCAGAAAGAGCTATGGTATTTAGTATTTAAAAGTCTTACATTCTTTTTCAAAAAACACCAGGTGGTGTCTGACTTTGAAATCTTGACAGTTATATTTGGCTGACTATAAAGTACCAATGTACTTCAAACAATGACAGATAGAACTTAATGATAACTAATTCAATTATTTTTCTTCCAAAATTCAAATGTTTCTGCTTAAAAAAGTATTTCTCACCAAAGGAATGATATCTGTTTAGTTTAACAACTTTACGTTTGACCAAGCCACATAATTTGGTGAAAAGTGAGAAAATGTAACTTTAAAGTTCATTAATATTTTGAAAAAAGTTGCAGAATTACTCGTATATGGAGTTTTGTTTCTGCTAAAATTCTGCAAAAATTTTTAGTTTATTTTTTATTTATTTTACTTTTTACACAATTTAAAAATTTCATTTGAAAGAAATATTGAAAAATTTACAATGTAACTCTTCTATGGGAGAGATAAGAAAAATTGTATCACTATTTACAAATACAGTTGAGCCTGGATGTGCGGACTCCAAACATCCGGACCCTTCACCCGCCGGAAGAATTTTTTGAAATACATGTAGAATATTCATTTATAGCTACTAGTCCTTTCAGAACGCTTCATGAATTTGGACGATTTTATCGGATTCACGAGCTTTCGAATAACGAGGCTCGACTGTAGTATATCTTATTATATCAATCTAATTAAATTAATAAGATAGCTTGGTTTTCTATATGCGACGTATAGAAAACCGTGGAGTGGAAGGAAGACCTCATTTAATTAGATTGCTTATAATCTTTCCTTCAGCTGCTTTATGTGAATAAAAACCACACAACATTTGAATATAACTTTCTTAAAAGTAATGAATCCTGTCAAAAATATATAGATTAGATTTACTGCAGTAAATAACTATCTAAAGCATTGTTATAAATGTTTCCACGCACTAGTTTCTGATTAATTTTCACAAAGAGCCTTTTGATATATTTACTGAGGATATCATTATCCTTATATTCATTCAAATAAAAATTTACTTTAACCTAATAATTCTCCGAAAGAAATCATATTTATAATTGAAATGTGCACGATTTTAGTACATACATTGCAGTTCAGGAAATGGCATTTTTAACTTGACAATTTTATAAAGGTTATCTCTCTCATAAAGTTTTTTGAAAAGAAAAAAATACACCTATCTACATACTTTAGGTGAGTTGGCCCTGACGATTGCTAAAGGTCCTCTAGAAACACTCCTTGGAATCTCATACGGCGCCGTTTTTGGAGTTTTTCTGTGGTACTTCCCGTCCAAAGACAGCGTAAGTTCTCTTCCAGCAAATTCCCGTAATGTTTTTTACTTTTCTTTTTCTTATGAAAACAAAATCCTGTATATTTCCACTTCAAATGTTATTTACAATTGACAATTGTAGGTAAACAGAACATTTTACCGTGCTGTTCTTCTGGTGGGATTCGGTCTCGTTGCTATTTTTGGCAGCCCTTTGGTCCAACTTCCAGGAGCCGGTCCCCTGGGATGTCTCACTGTTGGCTTTGTAGCAGCTTTTGGGTGGAGAAAAGAAAGAAATAAAGACGAAAACGTAAGTCACACAAGAGAAGGTAATCAGTTTTATAATGAATTTGTTTATACATTTGTTTCTTGTATAGCAGATGTGTACTTATAACTCGGAAAGCTTTTACATATTGGACCAATCTATTATTATATCAGGTATTGTTTTAAAAGAAAATTCCTTTTTTTGTGGAAAACTTTGTGGTTAACAATAGAAAAACAAACTTTTTTAAACAGTATTCTTTTGTAGGACACTGTAGCTGAGGTTACGGGTGTTTTATGGATGCTATTTCAGCCATTTTTATTCGGACTCATCGGAGCAGCAGTAAAATCAGAACAAATTCACGATCTGAGTTCTTTAGGTGAGGACCTCGTTTTGAGGAATCTGAGTAGTGTTATGTTAATTTATTTCTCATAAATCATGACTGAACATTTACTATGACAAGGAGCGGGTGTGACCGGTCGACAGGGGCTGCTTACTCCTCCATGGCACCTGATCCCACCTCTGATGTTTTTAGAGGTCCTTGTTTGCTCTGCTCCCAATTTGTATTATTTTTGAGGTTGAATACTGTTCTTTATCTTCATATTTCATGATTTCTATAGGTTTGGGGACTGCAGTCATTGCAGTGGGACAAACAATAAGAATAGGAGCAGCTGTGTTGTCTGTCCTTGGTACAGAGTTCTCAACGAAGGAACGCATATTCATTGCAATAGCGCGGTTTCCCAAGGCAACTGTTCAGGTAAGTTTAGACAATTATACTGCTTGACTTTTGTTTCATGAATCGACTGTTGAAACTTGTTTTCGGTAAGCTTAGCCTTTCATTTGTAGGCTGCGATAGGCGGGCTGGCTTTAGACATGGCGCTGGCAGACAACAACCAGGAACTAATACGTCACGGCACTGTCGTTTTGACAACTGCCGTGTTGTCTATTATTATCACGGCCCCAATTGGAGCCCTTGTTATAGCATTATCGGGCCCAAGGCTTCTGAACAAGTTAGACAGACAGACGACGGATGAAACAGACGCAGAATGCACCGATGACATGGAGAATGCATCAATGCTCCAGATGACGTCAGAACCACAAAGTACTATTCAAATTGAAATGTCTTGAGTTTACATGTGAGTGCCAATAGGTGACTCAAGTGTTTCTTTCACCCTTTCCTCTTTGATGGTAGTTGAGGGGAAAATTGATATTTTGCAATAGACTTTTAGATACTAATGTGTAGATGTGTAGTATCTAAATGCAGAATGTATCTATGTCATTCGTTAAATTTCCATTTTTGCCGGTGATGACAATCGAGAATACAGCTTGACGGGAGCTTTGGCTCGGCTTACAAGCCAATGTAGATCGGATACACAGAGCTACTAATCTGCCACTACCTGCGAACTTTCAATCAATATCCGGCGACAGAAACCGATCAAATAATAGAGGAATCTTCCATGTAACGTGTCTTCTGCTTAGAAACATTTTCCTATGATTATGTTATGATCTTTCAGTTTTTATTTATTAACATCCACTGTACATCTTCATCTGTATAAAATTCATTCATTTTAGTATTGTATAGTATTCACTGGAATATGTTTTGTTTTGTAAATAGCATAATATGAAGGATTTTGTTACATGGAAATATGCAAATATTATGGCCAATAGGAAAAAAGAAGCTCATTTTCTTCATACCCAATGAATTAGATCATGATACAGATGCAAAATAGTTTTACACCCATCTTTGCATTTTATTAAGCGGTATTTGTCACCAGTACCATTATTACTATGCTAACTCATGTATGTGTTTGTACAATGTACTAGTATGTATTTATATCAGTAAAAATGCATTTACCTGTATTTTATTGATATTAATATTTTACTTTTATCATAATGTCGCAATTTTATTGGTTTAAACTTGACACGTGACTGGAGCCTGGTCCAGCTGGTGAGAATTTTTATCCGTCAATAAAATCGTCCATTATCATTTGAACATTTTCAGCTTCTTCTCTGGAACGATAAGACCAATTTCAACCAATTTTGGTATACAGCATCTAAAGGCAAAGGGGAACAAAAAATGGTCTCTGCCCCTTGAGCATGAGGGGTGGCACCAAAACCATCAAAATTAATGCAATTTTCAAAAATCTTCTTTACTCCTGGACACCAAAACAACCGTTTGGCATGATTATAATAAGCGATGAGCCCTTTATCAAAATCGTAAAATTCAGGGCCCTGGGTTCAGGGTTACTGATAAAGAGTGCAGATTAAGAATGTTGGCCACATGATGAAAATAGTCGTCTGTACATACCAATAAATTCGTTGTGCCATCCAACAAGTGAGTTTATTGGTCTGTAGAGATGACTATAAAGGGTTAGGAGGTGGATAAAATATACAGGTTGGTTATAGAATATGTCTAGAATTAGGGGATGAAAGGTTGTTGATTGACCAATTCTGGAAAGTGGCGAAATTCATCCCCAAAGTGCGCCGAAAATCTTGTGCCATAAATTGCACTTTATTTACATTACGGAATCTGTAGCGTTATGGTCAAAGACTAAATTATAAAACCATAATGCTACAGTTCTGCAGCTAGTGTGGGGCCAATGTAACCATAGCTTGAGAGACTCACGACACACAGGTGATCATCAAGGCCCATGGGTCTCTTGCTGTACATAGCTCTTCTTTTTTCAGAACCAGTCTAAAACTGGCCATAAACACCCAGCCCTTTTATTCTGAAAAGGGTTTGATTTCATATTTGTAAGTATAATTGCAAATAACTCTGTTGAGGCATTGTGGCCTGTGGAAATAAAATGAACATTCATGAAATATTCTTTCAAATGAAACTATTGTTATAGATTTATTCTATACAGACATGAACTGATCTATTTAAGAGAATCTTTGAAGCTGCATTGTAACCAATTCAGAAGAGCATGTACATACCTAACATCATTCCAACAAACTCAAAAGATAACCAACACCTATTTCTAAACAAAAGATTTATTCAAGCTGATATTCTAAAATAAAATTGAAGAGGACAAATTGAAGTATAGGACAAAAAAATAAATATTTACACCAGTTTTCTTTATTGTGCACGTTTTGTCATACATCTAATTATATAGCATCAATATTGGCTATTACAAGTCACAATTTTACCAACATGTGAATACATTTAATTCAATATGTTTACAGAAAATCTTGTCAATGCTATAGCAGACAAATTTTGTACTTTGTTAATTCAAATAATATATTTACACACAATATCACACCAGTTAAATTTATCGATATTGACTATTCTTTGATTTTATAATAAATTGAAGAATTTTGAAACAATACTTCTAACTTTGACACAAACTTCACTTTTCAGCAAATGTCCAAGTTTTAATGCCCAACATAACCTATGGAAAAAGATGTGACTGTACCCTAAAACATGGAACCCTTCACGATGAGACCTAAATTCTTTAAGTGCTAATACAAAAATGTCAGAAAGACTCAGTGATCACAATTTCCTACATTTCTGAAAGTTGTCAATTTCCCCTAGCCAAAAAAAATGAAAATCTAGCCATGCTACTTTGTAAAATGAAGGAAACTTGATCACTTTGACAATGATATATACACAATGTACAAATAGACCGATTTCTGGCTTCTCGGCAACTCGGTGCTCATATGATAGAAAACTCAATACATCAACTTTGACCATGGTTATCTCTGCAAGAGAGCATAACAATGTAATAAAATATATGGCATAATTGATATTTCATTTAAATGCATTAACATGCTCAGTAAACTATTGATCAGTTCATCAAACAGGCAAAAATGTTGCACTGTACTAAGAATCCTTGTCATCCTTTCCACAAAAATACCCAGCACGCATCTCTGCTGAGTGCAGAATTTGGTGCCATTGGCTTGACCCACCCCCATGTGAAAAGCTGAACAGACTCATTTTAGCAGGCCCTCTGGCCGGGCCCTGAGTCTATATTTGTTGAGCTTCTCTATGTTGATGGTCTACCCTCTGTGTCTATACGACCCACGCCTCTCCTTCACAGTGGCAGCACTGTGTGGTAGGTGTGTTGGATTATGGAGCAGTTTTAGCCGGCAAGAATCTTGCGGTTTTTAAGGCTAGTTCATACCCAGGGTGTCCAACCTTCATATAGGACAGCTAGATTATCAAGGTTGTTGGCCTCTTTGATCACAAAGTCCACCTACAAACCCGAAAATATATGAATTCAAAACGTCAATTCTTACTCAAACTAATCATTTTAACATGCATGTATGAGAGTAGAAAAGAAATAACAAGAAGTCTAAGTACAATCAATTTGGGCACTGGAGAGAAGCAGTGCTCACCTGTTCAGCCACAGAAAGGCGTTTGTTGAGGTCCGGATCACGGCCATCCAGCTTCATCTTCACTCTCCTCCATACACTGACAGCATAGGAATTCCTCTCTTGTATGGCTGAAATGCAAATCATATGGTTTAATAATTACATACAAAGATCATTATTGCCAAAAAAGTTCTTAATTTCATAGTGCTGATACCTTTCCCAGTTCTTGGATCTCTTGTTATTTTATCCAACTTCTTCCCACCTTGACCTGAAAAGGAAAAGTGACCTCGGTAACAATTAAAGTAAGTCAACCAATTAGTGTTTACTAAATGACATCTGACGGACTATTTTCTCTTATTTAAAGAACATAAAGAATTTATCCAAAGGGAAATAAGGAAATGTACTTGAAATCTTAGCCATAAGGTTGACATGTGGACTGCCTAAGGCTGGAGTGGAGGCTTCTCTGTGTAGTGGTTTACTGACTGGGCTGGACAGTTCATTGGATTCCAGTGGCTTCTTCAATGCTGAAAGTGAAGTTGTACATTGAAACTGATGGTGGCTAACCTAGTCATTTAATGAATATATCTTCTATAGATTTTTTCTTGTAGTGAGACATCATAAAAAAATGTAGATCTTTCCAATTCTACTGTCTACGGTGAAAAATTTTTTCTTAATGGACATAACAAGGTAACTGTTTCAGTGAACCAAAATTTTTGTATAATAATAATGAATTATATTCAAACTTCTACAATGCTTCTTGAGGTGTACTTTTAATGAACCTGTTCGACAAAAAAGTTTAGAGAATGCCATCTTTTTATCTAGAAATTATTTCATTTCAGACAAATGTACATGTACTAGACTTAATTTAAATCTCATTTTAAAAACTGTAACACAGTGTAATACCCAGATTTAAAGGCTTGACAACAAACCTGAGGCAAAGCTGGAGTCAGCAGGATTTTCTGTAGATTCCTCCTCCTCAGATATCAGTGGAGGGGCCAGATTCACCAGGTCATCAAAAATTCTGTAAAATAGAAATAGCGAACATTTAAATCCTCAAGGTCAGGAATTTAAAGTCAATCTTCACACTGGGTAAAATTTTCCCTGTTAAATTACATTTTCATGACCCTTTACAGAAGTGATTTCTATATAATGGACACTTACTGAGGAATCAGTGTCAGAAGATTATCTATCATGGAATCAGCCTCTTTCATTCCTTCTTTTGTCATGTCCTCCATCAGAACAATTTTCAACACCATGGCCAGGGTCTCGGAGAAGTTCTTGTAGACAACAAGGTATTCTCTGATCCCGCTGAAGACGGGGGAATCCCCTTCTTCTTGCTCTTCCAGCTTCAGATAAATGTTACAAGATTTATAAGTGAATATAACAAAAAACTTAACCATTAGTGACGGTAACAACAAGATGGATGGAATGGGGCAGGGGATACTTACCTTGGACATGGACTTGAGAATGGTGCGTATGTCCGACATTAGCTTATGATGAGTGGTCAAGATTGTCTTAATGGCCATCACTTCATCCTTAATGGCATCCTGAAAATCGATTAAACATATACATGTATATAATATCAAATCCTCCCCATCTTCTGTGTAAAAATAAACAGCCGTTTTAGATTCTCCTTTTTAGGCACTACATGTAGAACTGACCTTGGCTGCATCCACATCTTTCTGGAGTTTGTCCGCCTCCTGACAGAGAGAATCAATCTGAGTCTGTACATCTACCTTACAGTCCTCTAACCATTTCTTATCAATTCTCTGGTTCTCTCCAGAGCTCTGAAAAAAAAAAAAAAAAAATAATTCAAGAAAATGTCCTTCTATCCATAATAAACACAGTTGATGATGAAAGTTAAAATTTTAACAAGTATGTATACAGACAATCTTGTCAACAGTGTACATGTATATGCTTCTATCTGTAAAACAACTTTTGACATATTTGTGAAACTTACTTTTGTGTTCATCAGCAAGATTTCTGTGTCTGTGACAGAGCTGTGAGTGGACTCCATCATCAGACAAGTCTCACTGCACCTGCAAAATTGCAACAACAAAAAAATCCATTATAGCAACTGAAAAGAATTAGCAACATTCTTAAGTCTAAAACCTCCTTCATGACTGAGTCTGATTTTAACAGTGGTTTTCCTTACTTGTTTATGAGGTTGAGGAAGTTTGTATCTGAGGCAGATGCCTCACTTGTCCTCGTCCTCAGGGCCTCCAGGTGTAGAATTCCCTGACACAGACTCACTACCTCTGTGGCTCCCTTTCTCTCTTCCTACAATCACAACAGAAATACATCAGGAGGAAAACAATAAGATCTTTTAAATCAATGCCCCCTTCCCCCCAACAAAAAATTGTACCAATTTTGAACAATGTTAATGGCATATCATAGGAAGACAAGGTCAATATTACTGACCTCATACAGCAGTTTTCTATATGAGCTGGCTTCGTCAAACTGTTGCAGCACCAGATTCAGAGAGGGGTTTGCACCAGCTGCCCACTTAAGTCTCTGTATGATGCTGCCCTCTAACTGGATGTAATGGGAGTAACAATTCACCAGCCCTGTTTCCTGAGCTGCCAAGGCCTGCATGCTCTGTAAAAACGGTAAAAATTTGTGCTTCTTTTGCAACCTTTTCACAGATTTAATGGGTCAATTCCAGATACATGTATATACTTGAATACTGTGTACATGTACAGGGTTATTTTGGCCCCACATTATTTTCATCCTTGCAAATGATTTCACCCCCATTTAAAATTTGCCAGCCACAATTGTTTAAAAAACATATTGCTGTTTCTGTTGAATTCACCACATTTTCAATTCCACTGACAACAAAGCCAAAAGGGGAGAATATAAATTTCCAAGTGGAAATATATACCGATCGCAAAAAATATTGTGTAAGGTGAGATCAATACTTAAATAATCATTAGACCATCTGTATACACATACCTTTCTCATCTCTGACATGACTGTAGCTCTGTTAGGCATCACCATCTGGTTGAGGTGGCGTCCAGCGTTCACAAACAGGTCCTCGTGGAGCCACTGAACTCGTGCCAGCTGAAGTTGAGATCTCTGAAGACAGTTCTTCATCACCACTAAACTTGAGTCCAGTCTCCTACAGAAATAAATAACTCCTTTGTTACTACATATTTTATTTGTAGGAATGATTTTTGCAGGGTTATCCATACAAATCAAAATTATGGCTGAGTTGAACTAAGGAATCTCAAACTTCGATATCTCAGGGATTTGTCGAAGTAAGTTGGAAGTCCCAACCACTTATTCAGTATGTATTTTACATCTAATACCATTTTAATCTGGTAAAGCAATAGATCATCCACAATCAAACATAATAAACCATCCCTAACCTGGCCAGGTCGTGTCTCCTCCAGACAGAGTCCAGAGCACTAACAATGGTGCTGGCCTGGGTGAAGTGTACATGCTGGAACTGGCTATTCCTCAGACAAATGTCCACTGCCTTTTTCCTCAAGTCCTCCAGGGGAACCTTAAACTCAGCTCCAATGTCCTTAAACTCGATTTCTGCTGTTACATTTACACCAAGGGCATCAATGAACACACATAACATGTAACCCAATACTTGAGATGGGAATCCTATCACCTGCAATTTGAAGAGATAAAAAAATATCATTACTCATTTATTACTTTCTCACATTATAAGGGACAGTTTGCATTAAAGATACAAAATTTATCTATCCTCCTACAGAAATAAAATATATACTAGTACTTGCCTGTTTTCGTACATATTCAGCAATAAAACGCTTCACTGGTCTTGACAATTGTTCATCATCATAGCAACTTCCACCCTCAATTCCTGTCAAAAGAAATCACAACAGTGAGGGAATAATTTACAAAGCTAGTGTTAAAGGTACTTAATAGTACAGACAGACTCCATCAAAATGGACAGATGAAATACTGACTATAGCTGAATTACTATACATAAAACTAACCTTGAAGATTGGCAGCATACTGAGTGCACATATGGAAGAATGCCTGCATGGTCTGCAGTCGTTTGACAAAGAAAAGACTGGATAGATAATGTCTGGTACTGCTGGTGAAGGAGGAGAGCTGTAAACAGAAAGTAAAAGTAATTTCACAGGTCAAATTCAAAGATCATCATATAATATTTAAATAAGGAGGAAATCTGTAAACAAAAAGCTACATGAGTCAAGGTCTAAGACATCAAAAACAGTATGGTAATGGTGGTAGAGGAATTCAGCATTCAAAAGGTAATGTGTAATATGGCTGTTAACTGGTTGACGGTGCCCCCTCTCCCTAATGACTACTTAAACAATGCATAAAAATATACCATACACATCAAACTTCAATATGACAATACATGTGAAAGCCTTTACTCTTGTAAACAAGCATTCATAATTCAGGCTCAGAATTTACTCTCAATATCAAGGTTTCATGGAATCATTTAATGAAATACATACATGTATCCTGATCATGTTCATAAGTTGTATGAAATCTATCTGTGTATGAAATAAAGAAGCTGAAATCTTTATTTTTAAAATTTTTTCATCCACTAGTACTTTTCCTGACAGCAAAATATAGATGGACAGAGCTTTAGTTCCAGTGATCCTACAGCCATAATGATGACTCATACCTGCATTGCCTTTCCCTCTCTTACTGCATCCACTTTTCTCCAGACATCAGGGACCAGTAGAGAGTCCATGGCATCCATGAGTCCAGTAAATTCCTCCTCCAAACGAGTGAAGAGTCCATTGAACCCCATTAAGAGCATTTGTCCAGCAGACATGTCCTCCCCCTCCCCAGACCCGGATAAGATCTCCTGGTACTCCACCTGCATCCTCTTTACCACTGTCATTATCTCCAAGTTATCATTCTGAAGAAAACAAGACATATACTTAACTAGAAAACTGACCAGTCAGCAAGGGCCCCGCCGAGGGGTAGAAATATAAGAGTGCAGCTTATTTTAATTGATTAGAAAAATTTAAAAATATATGAAGAATATGCAATTATAACAACTTTATTTATAAAATTTCAAGATAATTCCTAAATATCCAACAACCTGTAAAGAGTATCCCTGTATTTACATAAAGCAGTGAAAAACATAATATCTATAATAACTCAATTAAATGTATATTTAAACAAGAATAAAGCATGTGTTTTCAAATACCACCAAGTCTTGACCTTAACTTCAAAACAAACATCAGTTACAGACAAAGGTTAATTTATCTTAAAGTGACAAATAAAGATAAGTCTGGAAAATTTTCTGCCCAAGACAATTAATCCCAAGGGATTAATTGTACTGCTCTCTTATCCTTTTCTTCCAAGTTTACAATAAGAACTCTTTCAGTAATGATAGAATGAGTTTATTATTGGACTACCCATTAAAATTAATAGTATTCTTGAATTTACATATGGCAGCCCAAAAAAATAAATAAATAAAATAAATAAATAAAAACAAAAAAATAAAAAAACATATCTTTATGTATATCTTGTTTTTAGAACTCAATAAAATCACAACTCATTGTATATTTTACCAATATAAAGTATGAACATTATTTAAATCCACATTTCAGAGAATGTAAACATCATTCAGAATTGACCTTAACTTCAAAACAAACTTCATTTGCAGACAAAGGTGTTAATTAATCTCAATTTGACAGAAACAGATAATGCTTTGGATTCCCTTCATGAGGAAAGTTAATTAATCCCATGGGACTAGTTGCAGCTTTCATAGTTTACAATTGGAACATTCTCAGCAGTTATCTCTCTTTGCCCTGGCATTCATTCTAATGTAAAGTTAAGGAATCTACCCCACCACCCCAGCTCCAAACTGGATGACATAGAGAACCAAACTTAGCATCAAAATATGTCTTACTGCCTCTTCAACCAACATACCAAATTTGAACTTAATTGTCAACTACAAAAAAAGTTATTGGAAAAAAAACAGAAAATTTGTGGACGGAAGAATGACAGATGGACAGACGGACAGACAGACGGACAGACAGACAGAGTGATTACTATAGGGCACCCGCAAATCCTTGCGGGGCCCTAATAATGATAAACTGTATCTTTCTTACAAATGAACAAATGAACAATTCTGTGAAACTTGCTAAAGCAAACCAACACTTGATCAACTTGACTCACAAAGAAACTCAGGCACTGGTTATAAGGACTTAACAAGGTTGGATCCTGATATTTAAAGTCTTAAACTTTTTTTGTCAAGTATTTTTTTAGTTTCTACACACATAGCTTAATTAAAAATCAAAACAAAAAATGGGGATCAATATGCTTCTTTCGGCGCTACAGTACATTTATTTGACCCTTTTGCACTGAAATTTGTGTGTTAATCAAAAATCACATCTTCGACATTTTCCCTCCAAAGTTTTTATCCAAATAAATCATGGGACAGTCTATTTAAAAAAAGACACAATGAAATTGTGACGAAGAAAAAGTTTCAAATTGCTTCGCATAATCAATTATTTGACCTTTCTGCACTCACAAAATGTGATTTTTCTGGCATTAAAAATTTAAAAAGCAAGAAAATTATTTTAAAGTCTTAAACTTTTGCTGAATTTAAGCAGATTGATCAAGGTTATCTTATATATTCAGAAAAGAAAAACAAAAGTGGGGGTCTATGATCTAAATTTTTAGATATTACTAAAAATTGTTAATTTTATGTTAAAATTGGCTCCATTTTTTTCCTGGACTTTCAGAATACATTTACTATATTTGTCACAATATAATGAAAGAATTCATAAGAAATAATTTAATAGATATTTCAGAACCAGCATAAAACATTTCACTGCAAAAAACAGCTCTGTTTGCAACCAGCATGGAAAAATAGGAATCTAAACTTAACAGAACTGTATATATTTCAAAAGGGAAAAATTGATAATTTTCTTCTAAAAAAACCTTCCGCCACAAAATATAGTTCCTGGCTTAATCCTATTTGAATGGAATTTAACTGCGGTTTTTTCATTGGATATAGTTTAATTTGCATTTTAGAATCAAGATTTAATGTTAGAACTTAAAAATGATGCAGAATTTTAGAAATAAAGGTCCAGACCAAAATCTGCTCAAAAGCTGAGGATCGAACGTCCTTAATATGGTTTGATAAATAAGGCTCATGAAAAAGCAAATACATTTCCTAGGTAGATGAACCATTATTGAAAACTTCTGTAATTGTGCATTTCTCTTAAGAATTTTGTTTTTCAATCAAAATTCTATACAATCCTCATTCCTTCTGAATAGTCATTTGATAGGTAACAAAACTTAAAATTGTAAAAGGATGTACATATATACCAAGAACTTTTACCTCTCATGTAGGAATAAATAGGTAAACACAAATGCCCAAATGGACCATACATATGATACCTAAACCTACATGTAGTTGAATCATCTACAAGATCTAACTGACTTTCATTTCTCACTGATTAATTATTCCAGTTTGATTTCTTACCTCATTTCCCATGATGGCATTCCTGTGAAGTGTCTCTAATTGTGAAATAACAGTTTCTATTGGATAACCAGAATCAGAGAACAGCTTCTCCATGTCTTGTAGGGCCTTACATACACTGGCATTCTGGGCCTGAATGGCCTTCAGAGCCTCAGGCAATATAATCGAACGAAAATTCAGGTTCAAATCCTGAAAACACAAAAGATAGTGCTAAAATTCTTAGAAGTAAAAACTGTGAAGGAAAGTTACTGAGTATTTAAATTTTGCAATTTTTGGGGTGATCATAAACTTGAGAGGAAATAAAAATAAATTTGCTTCCTTCTGGAAATCATAATTTTCCTACATACATGTATTTCAAGATAATCTCTTGAATTTAGCACAAATATTCAGGTATAAACTTCAGAAGGACACTTTTTAGGGTATGATCTATTAAACATGCATCAATCTTGTTAAATATTGGCAGGAACCCAGCATATGCTTCTAGTGATTAGCATACCTGTAGGGCAGTGTACACATTATGTGTAGAGGTCAAGGCCAAAAACAAAGAATTGAAATGTTCCAGATCCTGTACTGAAGTGTTGACCTTGAGAATGTCTATGTAGTGCATGATGTTACTGCTCATACTGCACAATTCATCTAGAAACCAGTCTCCATCCCGAGATGTAAGATCCATCAAGCGATCACCTGCCCCTGTTATAATTTAAATAAAAGTATTTAAAATATTTATCAATGCTAAACTTTGCTACTCTTTTTTTGGAACATATTGACTCTAGGTTGTTTTTAGAAAGGTCAATTAGTACATATATTTTTTCCAAGATTTGAAAATTTTTTCAACCATGACCCTGTGGAAATTGACCATAACATATATGATATATTCAGAGTTGCTAATCAAAAAGAATAAGGATATGATACCTGCAGCAGCACCCTCCATCTGATTGTAACGCTTGTTGAGTGCACAAAGGGCAGATATCACCCACGCCATCAAACTAGACACCCCACTTAATCCATTCTCTAAACATAAACAATAAAGGAATTTACTTGACAAATCTTTAATATAACCAACTGAGAAAAAAAATTTAGAAGTTGCTTGTAATTGATACATTATCAAGTAGACACTGACCCCTGACAAAAGTCTGCACAGACTTGTTCTGTTCCACAATCTGATGTTCTAAGTACTCTGTCTCAGCATTTTCCTGACGTCTCCTCTCCAACAACTGAAACACGTTCAAGTAAAATTGACAGTTCAGTTAAAAAAAAGGAAATTAACTTTTTTTAAAGTTTTAATCAGAGATTACAGAGCTCACCTCTACGAATGTTGTCTTTAAGTAAGGCAAAGTCCCATACTAATAATCTAGTAGTGTGCATCACTAGATGTAACATTTATGCAATTTTGGTCCGATAGGGCTTGCAGTTACTTGGGAATGGACTTACCTAAAAACTTTAAACTAGTCACTCATCCAGAAAATGTAAGTCATATCCAGCATCTGAAGCAAGTTTTAGATTGTTCATCAAGTGATGCATCATCCATGCAAGTTTGGCTCTGATAGCCCTTATAGTTTACTTTAACCTGGTCACTCGTCTAGAAAATGTAGGTCAAAAACAGGAAAATGTACACGTAGGTCAGATCCAGCATCTGAAAAAAGCGTGGTAGTGTGCATCCTTAGATGTATCATCCATACAAGTTTGGTCAACATAGGGATTATAGTTACTAAGAAATGAGACTGCTCCAAAAACTTTAACCTGGTCACTCATCCGTAAAATGTAGGTCAGATCCAGCATCAGAAGCAAGCGTGGTAGTGTGCATCCTTAGATGTATCATCCATGCAAGTTTAGTCAATATAGGGCTTATAGTTAGTTGGAAATGAGACCTGCTCCAAAAATTTTAACCTGCCCTAAGAACTTTAACCTGCTCCAAAAACATTAACCTGGTCATTTATCAGCTGAAATTGCAGCATCTGAAACCTTGACTGGCACAATGAAACATACTAAAAGCATCCTCTATGCATCTCTGATTAATATAGGGTATAGAAGTACTTGAAAAGAATTCTGCTCCAAAAACTTTAACCTGGGACGCCGATGCCGAGGGTATTACATAAGCTCCTTCATTGAGGTGAGCTAAAAATGAATGCCTTCTAGAACTAGTACTGCAGTAAGACATGTATATACATATTTGGGAGAGATTCAAACCTTTAAGAGGCGGGCATTGACATCTGTAATAATCCCCTGTATTCTGGCCTCCGTGTTCAGAACAAGTTGAGTTTTAGCTGGAGAGAAACCCTGTTTCCCATAGAGCTCGTGGAACTGACTGACAACTTCTTCACATCTGTAACAAAAATTTCTTAAATGAACTCATCAATTTGTCTGAGGTGCTAATTTAATTCACTATGGCACTTTCCTCATGTGAGGAAGATTTGCAAGAAGACAAAACTCAGTGATAAATGTTAATACCTTTCTGATGTGAAATCACAAAAAACTTCTTGTAACCACATAAGATAATAGCCTGTCCTGTTCTGATCAGCAAAACTTGTACCAAACTAAAACATGAAAAGAAAAATGATGCTATTGTTTTACATGTATCTCTTTATAAACAAATTATAATACTCCAAATATCTACAGTACAAACCAAGCCACATGACACCACAGGTAAATGATATTAACCAAACAATGATGTCTTAGTCTTACTATAACTAAGCCAAAAGTTATTTATAGATTTTGGGGGTTCAGTCTTTGTAAAGAATTGCAGCCTCATTCAGTTTTGTTACCTGTGAGATGATGGTGGCGTAGGTATGAAGTACATCCATGGCTCGATGTAAGTGAGATCTCTGGAGCTGTAAGTAACTAACCATCTCTGCCTCGAGCTGCTCACACTATTTAAGATATCCATTATAAAATCATTAGTTTCTTATTTCCATTTGCATCACATTTCTTACTAAAAGTTTACCAATTGATAAATAAGTTTACTGATATCCAGTGATTGAGGTTTACTAATGCCAGTGATAAACAGTTCAATGATGTCTACTAATATATGTTAACTGATGTCGACTGATTTATGCTTACTGATATTAACAGATACACGTTTAATGATGTCTCCTGATATGTTAACTGATGTCTACTGATATACCATTTGAGCAGAATTTTTAGTGAGGATTTAATTTTGGCATTATTAGCAAGAGTGTTGAGATCAGTAAAATTGAATATCACCAACCAATCATTTAGCACTGAAAGTAATAGTTCCATTTCCTGACATTGCTAAAATTACTTCTCACTAAGTTTACTGTTGATAGAAGTAAATTTCAAACCTGCGACACAATTTGACTCTGCCCTGCTCCCTGTAAGAAGTCCGTGACTGTCCCAAAACTAGTGGTACCCAGATTGAGGGGTGTAGCTACATCAGCACACATCTTCTGGAAGGCAGCACCTTGGATGCTCTCGATTACATGCTGTAAACAGGCCAAACAAAATGTCAACATCATCAATCTCCACTATACTTATGTCTTAATGAACAACATTTATTTGTATCGTTGTTTTCTCTTAATTGTTCCTACATGTAGATTTATTCTACCATTTTTGTTCTTGAACCCCATAAAAGTCAGCAAAATCTTTTGGCAGGGATTGACCAAAAGTTGTCTATTACGGAATCAAAAGTAATACAGTATACATGTAAATAAAATTCTCCATGCAGTCTCTCACTACATGTACTTATATGTAAATATGTTGATACAAAATCTAGGTTTACCTTGTGCAGTTTCTGCCAGTGACTGAATTCATTAATGGTCTTCTCCAGTACTTCGAAGACAGAATCTCGATTTGCTTTCACAATAGCATATTCTTCGTACCTATTCAAATGTTATGAAAATGATTATGTAACTTAGACCTCATAGAAACCCCCATTTCTCTCAAAGCTACTTTGTAAGGTATTGTCAGAATACTGAAATAGCAGTGAGAATGAATTGCCTGTGAACACATTAACTCTATAGGTCAAACTTCCACGGATTTATTTTTAATTAATTCAGCAGATTTTCAAGTGACAATTTTTATTAACATTCTGGCAAACAAAAAACATAAACTGATGAAAAAGCACCCAATCTCTAAACTCATAAGACCTAATCATTGTTTTATGTTTAAGTGACTTACAGTTACTTAACTATTGTTCACTAAATCAGCGAAAGTAATAGATCTCCCTCACCTGTCATGAAGTGAGAACAATGAATGATCAGGATCCCCCAGGGCATCCTTCACCAGGCGCTTGACCTCCTTCATGTTATCTTGACTTTCCACAGCAGCAGCATGTTTGTCTGCAGCAGAACACCATACACTGACTTCCTCTCGAAGCTTTGGCAAGGCTCTTAGAATGTCATCTCTGGTATAGCAAATGTAAAAGACAAAATGATCAAGTATTCCTTTTTTAAGCCCCCCCCCCCCCAGAAAGTGGAGGTTATCACCTCTTTGCAATCACACTATTGCTATCCATCATTTAACTTATGGAATACTGTTTACAACTTTTAATGCAATAAAGAAATGCTAGCTAAAGACTGACCTATTTTTGATCCAAGGAACTTTCATTTCAGCCACTCTGATGGAGAACATGCTGAGAGTTATCTCCTTCTCCATGTCTCTTTTGGTCTGTCTGTTATCTCCCCCTGCTCCCATCACAGACAATCCTCCACCTCCATAGAATGCCCCTGCATATCCTCCCTCATTTCCTGTGGTCCAATCCACAAGGGGGTCATACACAAAGGCCTCCAACAGGGTGAGCAGAGTCTCCCGACCTTTCCTCAGGGTCTTCATTACATGTTCACAAGAAATTCTAAATGTTCCCTGTAACAAATTTCCAAACACTTGGAACTCATTTGCACTTTATAACAAAACTTTGTTAATATTAAACTAAAACCTCTACTTGCCTATTCAATTAATAATATTGAATTTGTATTATTTCATATAATAAATTTTCAGAGACAAACAAAAATTTGCATTAATTTTAAATAGGGATGTCAATTTTGTCAATAATTCATATTCGAATATTCAATGAAAGTATTCAAATATATTCGAATATTCGATAAAATAAATAAAATCTGTTTTATTTTAAATATGCATCATCCTACTCTCATGAAAGGTTTAGCTTAGGTATACTTATATTGGAAGTAAAATTGTATGAAGACTTTTGTAGGTGTACAATAAGAAATTCTATTTGATATTTGTCAATGTTTGAAATAAGTAATTAATTTAAATGTAGAAAAGTATAATTTTAACAAATGAAACATGTATTTATAGTAGCTCCACCTGAGGAACCAGTCGTCTTACATGTACAAAAGGCAAGATAGTCGTAACGGAATACTGTTCAGATTTCAATACGTGTAATAAATTACAATTATCTGCCTAATAAGAGATATTGTTATAATCTTTGATACAATGTTAACAAATATTTCCATAGACAATTTTCCTAGGTAATTAATTAATTTTCCAATAATGAATATAAAATTCGGGATTATGTACAACCTGAGATAATCAAGTAATTAACACATTTATTCTGAAATTAAGCCCTTTACAATATTACTTACAGATTAATTCAATGATCAATTAATTTTATTTTGATAAGTATACTCTTCACGACTTTTAGACATTCTTAGATTTCATTTGTTGTCCTCGATTCTAGATCTGATCGTATCTAACTAATAAAAACTATGAAAGTACGTTTTGTATTATACATAAAGCATTATTGTACAATTCTTTAACACCTTACTCAAAACAAAATACATGTAATTTAGTAGATTTATAAGATAAGAAAGTAGTGAAAGAAATCAGGCGATCGAAATTGTTCGCTAGTAAATTAAACAGGAATAATTCCAGCACTCTTCTAATCAAAATTTATTAATCACAGTACCCCTTTTTATGAAATCTGAAAAACACCGTATATTCGAATCTTAAATTCATATTCAAGTATCACCTCATCGAATGAATATTCGAATGTTCGAATATTCGTTGCCATCCCTAATTTTAAACAATATTTTATAAAATTTCAATGATGACTTTTTCTGCGATAATTATGATATCTCCCATAAAAAGAAAGCATTATCTCCATACCTGACCAATATTCATATTTAATGTTATATTCTCAGTAGACATAAATTTGTCATACCTCTATGCCTGTTACTCCAAGAGCAGTTTCAATATTCTGTGTCATTCTAAATGGGACTTTCTCTGGTACTCTCAAACCTTTTCCCTTCTCAAAGCAGACATTGTAGTCAATATGAACAACCTGCAAATTAAGTAAAACATAATCTCTGTTATCTTGTGAAAGTAAAAAAACTCAGGAAGTATAGCTCACATTCTCTTTCATTACAAGCAACACAAACCAAATTAAGATTTTTTGTTGAAAGGTGTAAAAAGATAAAGATTTTTTATTACCCGGTACAAAAGATTTCAAAAGAATCAAAAAGCAAACTAATCTGAACCTTACTATGAATTATTTTATAAAACATGGCTATAGTGAATCTCCAGGGCCAGATGGAAACAGTTAAAAACAAAATCAACTATATCTGATCAGAATTCATAATTTCCTTTCATCAGAAACAGACCATATACTAGTAATAAATAATTCAATTCAATAAATTGAATTCCCAATAGATGTGTTTGTTATAAGCGTGTTTTACTGTACGAGTTACTGCAAGTAAGATGTAACAAACCTCTCCAGTTGCCAAATCCACCAAGACGTTGTCCAGATGTCTGTCCCCCAGTCCAATAATGTACCCAATCATAGACATGATGGCGGTGGATCTCGCATAACACTGAGTGATGTGCCACCATTCATTAGCTCCAGTACTAGAGCACCAAAGCTCTCTGAGAAATCATACACAAAAATTTTATACTGAACTTTCATTCATCCCCAAAAAAACTTTTTCCTTTACAATTTCTGATTTTTTCAGCATATCACTTGCTTTTCATAGACTGAAATCATACTTTAGAAAAAAGATACAATGAAATAACTGACCTTGCCAGTAAGTCCCCTGGAGTTTCTGTCATTAGTTCTTGTAACACACCTCTGAGGACACTCAGCGGCCATTCTTTACGATTCTCCAGATTTGTGATACCCTGAAATATTAATGTACGTGTTCAGAGTATTTAACAGAAATGCCTGCATCACTGAACTTACCTGCAATATCTGCCAAGATTTGTTTATCATCCAAACAAATCAAATTGACCAGATAAGAGTTTGATAATACATGTTGAAATGAAGTGAAATGGCCTCAATGGGAGTGAAATAACTTCAGCAAAAAAGTGTTTTAGAGAGAAAAGTGACTTTACACTTCAGAGAATATACATGTAATTATTTAAAATATTGTAATTAAAATGGTACAGTATGATGCTTATACCTTCTCTCTGAGTGCTGGAGTGAGCTTGTTGTAGAAGATTTCACTTGGCCGTAATATGGTGGTGGCCTGGTTTGTGGAAGAGGCACTGCTAGTACTCTGGCTCTACAATCAAACCATGCTCTGATCAGTTCTAATAAATGCAATTTGTATTTTTACCTCGGTACAATATACAGAATGATAAAAATTGTTTCTTGATTCCTGCAGATGTTCATGAAACAAATGTTCACACTCTGGTGCAAAGTTTAAAAGGGCTCACCTTTATAGACTGGGCTAAAGCACCTCTCTGCTGCCATCTCTTATACAAACTAAAGAGGGGAGTAGCACCATCCACCCACTGAATCAGTCCAGAACGGGGCCCCAGTGGGGTCACAGAATAATGGCGAGCACGAAACAACTGCTGCTCTTGTCTGATATATGAAAGAGTATACGCATTTCAAAACTCAGAGTAAAGACAAGCAAATGTTTTACTGCACATTGACTTTTCATGGAAAACATTTGCTAAAAATTATACCTGTTGTCATTAATGAACATATTATTCACTATTCCTAAAAACTGCATGATTCTCTCATCCAAATGCAGATCCTCTAGTCCTTTGAACAGATAGGGGTATCTGAAACATGACATAACAAAGCATGATTGATTAATTACATGTATTAATACACAAATCAACACGTATCAAAGAAAAATTAATTTTAAAAAGATTAAACCAACCTTTTCCCATCAGACCCTAATAACATAAGCTTCTTAGGTTTGGTTTTTGTGGGAAGAATCTGCACTGTATTGGAAACTGACTCGATCGTGACAACCTGCACAAAACAAATGAAATACTGTATTAGTATGTCAAACAAACCAGCATCTCCACTAACTAGACCGTTGTTAACAGATTACAGGTGTACCTTTCCTGACATTCCTAGGCCTGGCATGGGGATGACTGTTGACTTGAGGGTTTGCAGCTTTGGACTGATTCTGTCCATCTTTAGAATCAGACTGCTCCTCTTCTGAGCTCTCTGCTGTAAGCTACTGTGGAGCTGGAAAGAATTAAAAAAATCAATTAAGATAATTTTTTCTATTTAAAATTAGTTAATACTGATCAATTTTGGCATATGATATAAACACATCTTGTTAAAGAGAGATTAGGCTTAAAGTTAACACTTTAAATTTATAGATAAATCCTCTTGTTACCTGTTTGAATGGCTGCCAGCTACTGCTAGGATGGTTAGGATTTGTGGGATTCATCAGTCTGTCCATTGCCATGGTAATCAGTTTCCCATAATTCTCCTGAAACCATTGCTCATGTGGTGTTTCTACCTCCTGTGATGTAATTTCCTGTAATCTCTCCAAAGTATAGAGTGTCTGGAAAGAAAATTTTAAATACCTCTACTAGTACTTTGTATGTACGATACGATTGCACTTCAAACAATGAAATATTGTTTTACAAATAAGAAATTGTTTTAAATATTTACAGGTTTCATAATAGTTCTGTGTTTTTCTCTGATAATTGCCATCTTCTCGTCCTTTGTGAGACTGGAGTTGTTCATGACCTTTTTGACCTCAGCCTCCAGTTGTTGTAACTTCCTGGTTACGTCAATATGCTGCTGATTGAGTGTTCCCAGCCACAGTTCATCCCAAAGCAGCGTGATCCTTCTCAGCTCATGTACGAGCTGCTTCACCTCCCGAATCATACTAAAAGAATAAATACAGAAATGACCAAAAGACATACATATCCCAACCCATCATTTCATATATTCAATAAAATGAATTCGCATTTTAGAAAAAAAACTAAATCTAAATTCTTTCTCATAAATTTTCATGAAAGATAGTTGTTTTAACCATGTTTAATAAATTTTTACTTGAAGTTCTGCCTATAAACCTCACTGACTTCATTATCAAGATGCTTTCCTATAGCAAACATGAGTAAAAGCAGAAAAGTGACTTTATAAATCCTTACACAGGATTGTTGTAGGAGAGGGCCTCGACGATGGAAGCTAAGCAGTTCTGTAACATTGTGCTGGTAACATCCATCTCTTCGCTATCTTCTCCTTGTGACCTGTCTTCATCTTCATCATCATCCAGCTGTTTTGTTAGATACTGATTCAGTAATCCTGATAAAGAAGATAATTCCATTTGAAAGTGACATGCATATTCATTAGGTTAAATATCACAATGATATTCATTAGCTAAAATATCCTTTATCTTATACATAAAATATAATCTATTCAATTTACAATGAAATCAATTATCAGACAATGATTAGAACAAGGAGCCAACACACAACCAAATACCTTCTCTTTTGGTGTCTGTGTCATCCATTTTAGAGGAGGACCCCACAACGGCTGGATATACAATTAGGTGTGGTGCATCATGGGCCACACGACACAAAAGGTCGGAAATACTTTGTCTGACATACACTTCTGGGTGACTTAGACGTGAAAACAGCTGAGGTATTATTCCTGTAAAATTACAAACAATGCATTTATCACTTCAAATGTATATGTACTTGGTAAAACAAAATTTAGATTAAAATATAGGAGCACAATCAAAGGTAAAAATTATGATTATAATTTGTCATACAAAACCATCAAAATAAATATGCTAGCTATTAAATACTTATGATCTGTAATATGGCACATCTTGGACAATATGTGAAATATTTCTAAAATACAGTGGCACCATGGTAACCCGTATACCAATAATCCAAATGCTTCACCTTCTGTATGGCATTTCTTGGGAACTGTATTTTTACATGTAATTTGGAACTTTCTCATTTTCAAACTTTCAGCACAGATACATGTAGGTTTGAAATGTATACATATATTACAAGTTACAAGGTCCTTAGTTTTTTTCTCATTTTCATTTTCCAACCTTATGTTGAGTACCGTATATACTCGCCTATAAGTCGGTTTTTTGGGAGTTAACTTTTATTCCAAAACTCTATGTCCGACTTATAGGCGAGTCATCAAAAGCTTGGTATTTTTCTAGACGACGAAATGTAGTATTTTTAACATAACTTCGACGATTATCGTTGAGAAATGTCTGGACGTATTATATCATTTATGTATTCTAAGATTATATATAATGTACAAGTATTTACATGTTTTAATGATTTTATTTTGATCTTAAGTGTATATTATTTATTTGATTAATTATAAACAAAAATATTTCTTTAATTAACTTGTGACTTACTGTCAATCTATCGTTTGTCGGTAAAATTGAATTGCGAACCCGATATACCGGTAATACGTTCAGCATTAGGTAATGTATAATTATATGTACCGTCTGCAATGTTTTTGACAACAGAAATAATATTCTTAAAAAATAATTCAGAATATTATTCTGGGGCTATTAAAACTCGATTGTTTATGAATATGCTTCCGATGTGTAGTACACGATTTTCTCAGGGCGCGTGCCACTAAATAAACACGGTGTCAGGTAAGGGATACAGGTAATTAAGAGACAACAATTGCTAATAAAAGATCAAACATAGCGTTATTAAAAACTATAGATATGGCTTGGACATTGAGCACCTCCTAATTAAATATCATCAAAATGTTACTAGCCTCGTTACATAGTTCTTCACCATGCCAAAGAGACCGAGATCCGCCTATGATCGAGATCGGTGTATAAAATATACAAGACAAGGAATTTAACGCTTAGACAAAACAGTATAAAAAAAGAAAACTAAAATGGTAGTGGTTTGGTTTGTTGAAAAATAAAAAAAAAATATATTAATTACCGATGTCATATCCTAACATATTATTTGAACACAGGTAAATACATTAGAGTATTGATATGAAATTTATAAGAGAAGAAAAAAAGAACGATAAAATATCGGCGTAATTTCTCAAAATATTATTTGAAATGCATGTTAAAACATTAGAGCATTGATTTGAAATTGTCCACCTATCCTGGCAAAAAGTTGTACCGACTTATAGGCGGGTCAATGGCAAATACCTCCAAAATAACCTCAAAAATCACAACCGACTTATAGGCGGACCGACTTATAGGCGAGTATATACGGTAAAACCTCCTCTAAAACACTTGTGAAATATGTTCTTGCTCAGTTACAGCTGGGTTTAACTGTCACAGCCATTGTATACATTCTGAGGTGTTAACTGTGATGTGACAAAGCTTTATTGAACATTTTTATCAAAAGTCCTCGAATAACTGCATGTGACACTGATATGGCAAATAGTTGAACCTGCAGGATAACTACATTTCTGTCACATGAAACCTCTTTTCAAGTTTATCTGTAAACAAATCTTTTTCTGTTTACTGTGTCCTGGTCAAGCTCAGATATTGTTCTGATGTATAACTAGAGAAGTAGACACTGCCATACTGTATTTTAATTAATCTTATCAAAATTTTGTCCATCAGGTAGGTACAAAGTGTTGATTTTTGCAATTTAAGGAATCACCATAACTTTGACTAAGTACTACAGAAATAATAAACACAGAGTACATGCATTAATGTTTGCCAAGTATTTTTCCTTATGATGCCGATAAAAAGTTACAGACCATATAATGTACAGTTCAACACATCAGTAAAAATTCAATTTCTGATATAAAAATATGTGTAGTACCTTTCCAGGGAGTGGTGAGTGTACTAGCTAATCCCGATTCCAGAACATTACGTAACTCCCACGCATGTTTCACCAGTAGTCTCAACAGTCGTAGAGTAGCTATAACATTACCATCCTCATTGCTTCTCTCTGATTTAGCCTGCAATACATCAGTCTGCAGTGTCTACATAACAGTATTTCAACATCATTCACAGAAAAACTATTGTCACATTCTTCATGTTTATCAACACCTTCAACAGACATTTTGTCTGCAGAACAGCTCTCATATTTAACCTACTGACCTTTCCATTAAGTTGTAAGTAGGTGAAGTAAGCCTTGGCCGAGAGCTGATAGTAATGGTACACTCTATGGACGATTCCTCTCCAAATGGTCAGTAGACCCTCAATGCACTGGTCACTAGCGGTCTGTAAGGACTGACCACAGGCCAACAGCTGGCGTCGTGTGGTCTCTGCCCCATCATCATACTGTCCCTAGGGAAAGAAGGTAATTTGGTGTAAGCCATTAAAGAAATCAGAGAAGTGCATTTCTCATACATATTCATTGAAGGATATGCCACAGTTTTTCTACATGTACTTAAAACAAGCTGGAAAATTTCACGACCTATTTTATATAAAGATTACATTTAAAAAAAAAACAACATTGACAACTATTTATTTGATATTCATGAAATAATGCATAAATTTCAGTAAGTATGGAATAAGTACAGAGATGTAAACTGGTTGTGTATAAATGTATGTGCTGATGTGAGTTTATGACAGTCTTATGTTGAGTGGACCTACCTGATCCTGTTCACAGATGTCCTCCTCGCTGTTATCCAGAGTGTGGATCTGACGAAGAACACTCAAAACCTTCCCGGTCTCATCTGAACTTGTCCCCTACAAGGAGGAAAACAACATCAGCTGCTAACCCACTGAATTTATCACAACTCTTGTCATTTTTGTTGGGAAAACATGTCAAGGAAGTTTACATGTATCATACCTTGGGCAGAACAGCTTTCACTTCCTCTATTTCTTCACTCAGCAGGTCAACAAATCCATGGCTATTAATAAAAAGGATTTTTTTTTAAACAAAAGAAAAAGAACGCAATCTCACTTACAGACCTCCCAACCTCTTTTGGTAGAAAAGCGTTTGAAGCAAGGGGAATGGATCCTGTGCCAAGAAAAACCTGGTCAACAGAGATGACTGCAATTGAATTAAGGGCTTCTTTGCTTATTTAAGGTACAAGACACCACAACTTCATTATTTATACCATTTTGACAGTACAACAATCTTAGAAATTCGTCAAAGTCATAAATTTGAATATTATAAGTGTAACAGCATAATTGACAATGACAATAGAAAATATGTTAAAATTGTAATGGTTGGCAGGTCTGCTATTATGGTAACATTTAAATATGCCTGGAATTTTTAAACACTTGAGGGATTGTGCTATACTACCTGGCATTGTCTACAGATTTGCGCCCCCATTTATAGCACCATCCAGCCAGTGTAAACCACGTCTTGCTCAGCGTTGGACACTCAATGGTACTTAGGTGAAGCAGTCGTCCAATCAGACTGTCAGTGTCACTCACAATGGCACTCTCTCCTATACTGATGTCTACAAACAGATGTCAAAGTCATGAGACATTTTACTTTACAAACAGATACCAATTATTTTGAACTAAAGGACCGTGGGCCTTGAAGGTCACCCGAGTATCATTGTTTATTTTTATATATGACCAACAAAGCCCCATCTGGAATTGGAACTCTTGACTCATGGTAAAGAGCAAATTGCTTACTGCTTGCTAAATGTCCACAAATAAATAGGATTTTCAAAGGTACTATAGGCCACCTGGGCTATTCAGTTTACCTATGAAGATAAAAATAAAAGTGCTGTGAAATCCCTACTTACTGTTTTCCTCCATGACCAGTCCCATGCCTTGCTGTGCCGCCCTTGCCTCTGTCTCCATCAGGAGCTGCAAGTTCCCTCCCAGCACACAGTCCTCTCCCGGGGTTTGGGTCAGGACAGCGGACAGGTTCTTATAGTCCAGCTGTAACCACTTGACCAGGGTCAGCAATGACTTCCCACACAGTTGACTACAGTTCTCCAGCATCTCTTTGTCTTTCTTGTCATTCATTAAGTCAGCACAGATAAAACCTACAATGCTGCTGGACAGAATGTCAACGCTCTCTTTATGCTGTGACATGCTGTGGAGAAGCTTAGCTCCTTCCCGCTCCACTTCCAGAATTTCCAGCTGACTGGCTGCCTTGGTGTTACTCTGTAGAACAGAGAGGGCTTGTAACAGTCCTTCAGGGGCAATTTTCCCATTCTCCATGTTAGGTTTGACAAGAGTGTCGATCTGTGATAAAAGGACATTCTCAGCCAGGTTGTAATTACCCTGTTTCCTTGCCAGGCTAGCTGTGGAGAGCTGAATCTTCAAAATTTGATTTGTCAGACCTGTCAAAATAAAGTGGCTTAAGTCTAACAGAAACAGGGTAAATATTCAAAACATAAAATCAGAATTCCACAAGTCTATGAAGCTTACTTGACTTCTTTTCTGGTGCTGTATTTTGTCTCTGTATATCCAGTAGTCTTTGTAAGTGAAGGTATGAGGATATGTCATGTTCATCAGAATCCATACCATAATCCTCACTCAGTGGTAGCAGAATCATCTATAACCAAACAGAGCTACATGTTATTAGACTTATTTTTGAACATAATGCAAGTACTTTATATATACAGTTTTGATTTCTCTCAGGTACTTCCACATCTACCTTTTTCATTCAATTTTACTTTGCTTCAAATTCATAGTTCATGTCTGTCAGTAATGTTCTAAAATTAATCTCAGGGTTTTGTTCTACTATGAAAACAGCAAACTAATAAAACTGCACCAAAACCATAGCAGAATACCATTAGCATAAAGGATAGATTCACTGAATGGCTTCATTTATTTCAGAAGTTCCTCATCCGATTTTCCCCTTTTTTGCTTAAAGCACTTAAATTCCAGTCAAAACCTCTATTTTTTCACTTCAAGCAATAAAGTACATTTATCTCGCACATTTTAAAACTTTATCCATTCATCAAACCTTTGACTTTTTATCTTCAATCTGTCTCCTCAGGACTGTGGTGGTACATAGGTGAGTCAAGGCTCTCTGAGCAACAAGGACAGGCCACTCAAGGGAGGCCACTCTTAGCACACTTTCCTCCAGGCTTTCTACATGACTCAGACATTTCGAAATATCAGTCCTGAAAAATGAATAAATTTTCTTAAGTTACAAAATTTCTAGACTAAAAATACATGTAAGTATGTGCCTTCTGTGGAATCATCATTGTTCATGGGGGACCAAAGTTTGTTGATTTCATGATTTACATCCTCATGAATGATAACTTTGTCAGTGTATTGGTTCACTGAATCTTCTGCATATACAAGTTACCCACAAATTAACATCCAAATGAAACAGTAAAATTTTGATTCTCCACCAACATCTCCCCCCCCCCCCCCCCTCCCCCCACAAAATAACTTGATCCAACAGTATATGAAAAATACAGTCACAAAAGAAAGTTGGATCAAAGTTAATTTACATTATGTGTCCCAGTTCTTACTTGCTACTTGTGGACTTGGGGTCCTGAGAGTATGTGGTAAGTCTGATAAACTGTCTGTTGATCAGATCCAGCTTCTCCCCAGGGCTCCATTGACTGTATGACTGAGGACTGATGTTTATCTCAGACAGAGAGGATCCTGGAACAAGTTCTAGTTTCTCCCGAACCTCAGCAAAATCACCCTCCTCAAAAGCTGATAGAGCTCTGATGAAAACAGTAAATACAAGAATAGAGCAAGTATTAAGGGATATATGCAAAATACTACTTATAACTACGTGTATCTTCTTTCAGCAAAAGAAACTTCAAATTTGACATACTTAATTCTAATAATACAGGAGGAATTTTTTTTTTTTTTTACATTTGTAACATATTCAAGCATATCTTGGTTTCAGATAAAACTGAGTTCTGAGATTTTCTATAAAGTACACATTTTCTAACAAGAAGCCCTACCTGGCTAACTTGGGTTTTTTGTTAAAGCTTCTAAGATTTAGCCATACCTGATGTAGTTGAGGTCTATGTCAGAGTAGAACGCTGTCTGTAGCTGACTGTAATTCTGTCTGTACTGTAAGATTGTATCCTGCCATTCCATCACCGATTCCCAATCATGTAACTTTTCATAACAATCAAACACCTGCAACAAAGAAAAGAATACAATAATCCACTGATCTCAACTATCAATGAAAGAAAAAACTTTTTCCGCATACATGTAATTATTTTATTTTTTTATAATTTATATATTTGTTTCCCAAACTCTTTTAAACCCTAATTCAATTTTTAACAATTAAAAGATACTACAAAGATGTTGGTACCTGAGTTACTACAAAGTGGAGCTTTAACACTGGTAGGTTGCTGTCAGGCTGAGGGAAGGGGGACTGTTTACTCAGAATTCCAGTGATCTTCTTGGGCATGATCATCTCCATCTTTGTCAGATCTTCTCGGGGGGAGTCAGTTTTCTCCGAATCCGAAGACACCATTAACTTCAGCACACTCTTTAATTCCTTTGCAGCACTCTCATACCTTGAAAATTGAAGAAAAGAAAATAATGAATTTAAAATGTACAGCAGTAGGGTAATGCAGAATGATCAAAGATCATCATTTTAGATTTAATTCATTGCTGCTTCTTAAAGTACAAGCTAACAAAGAGAGGATTTATGTCTGTAAAACTCATGATGTCAGGGGTGCATTCAACAGCATAGGTGCTACGTAGCCGCTACGTAAAGCTACGCTCTTGAATGGAGAGCTAGCCTAGCCACTACGTAGGGAGAGCTAGCATAGATATTAAATGCAGTACCAAATCTAAGATGGCCTCCTTAGTTACAACTTTACAGCTTACTAGATTTTCATAAAATGGGGAATTATTTTCTACATCTTAGCGAATTAAATGTTAATTTACATACATATTTTCTTGAACGCAGCCCAGATATCCAGTTTTTGTTTTATGAGTTGTGTCTGTACTTACTTCCCAGATGCTTTTTCCACCAAAGCTTTGATCCAGAGGAATTTTTTGCCTGTTTGTTCTTTACACCAGCTGTACACTCCCATAATAGCATCTCCCTGCTTCAGTTCTCCCAAAGCCTTCACTAGGAACAGTACTGTCTGCTCAAACTCAATTCCCTACAATAAACACACATAAAATGTAATTTACATGTATATAAAAGGTTCATGTGTAAGGTGAATTCTACAAGGCATATCAGGTATCTGTACATACAGCTGAAAAACTACAAAATGTGCACACAGTGGATTAGCCTTAAAATTATGATTGCATTAAGAACCAATAACCTATTAAGGCTGACAGGGAAGGAGACTGATTCGTTTGTCCAAGTATGTTACATGTACATACACTGTTTTTAACATAAAACATTCGATGCCACTTTAAACTCTTTCAAATTTGTACTTCTACCAAAAATATATGTATATGTACCACATGTACATTACAAAATTTATCACTTTCCCAAGATATTTCAGATATGGACCTTTTAATAAACATAACTGACCCTCCTTTGGACAAAAACAGAGAACCATTATTTGTCTAACCTGAAGTGTGTTGTTTTCCTTCATTTCCTGCAGCAGCTGATGACACTGTCTGACAGCCATGGCTGGCATGCCGTTGTGTAGTGCTATCTTGATGACAGAAGAGCGGATCCGAGATAACCACTCCAAACAGGTGCCCTTGTTGGTCCGGAAGAATGTCCTCACACTCTACAATTGAATACAGACCACACATTTTACCTGCACTTTTAAACTGGAGATAACATACCCACTATCAACTCAATAAGAAAACTTGTTTTGCATAAATTCCTGTACCTTTGGAGACATTGGCATAGCCATGGCACATCCCTCATAAGCATTATATAGAAGTTTTTCCAAGTGTTCCATGAACTGCAGAAGGAGGTGAACTCTTAAGTGGCTGGACAGATCATCATGCTTCACTCCTTCAGATATAGAAACATGCAGGTTTATTATATTTCATCAGTAAAACAGCATTTTGTAGTTCTAAATACTGTATTGTGGAAAATGCTGTGTAGTAAATTACATAAATTGTTGGAATAAACCTTTCATATGTCTTATCAATGATTATGCATGGAAACAAGAACTTTTATCAAAACACAATAAACTGTAAAACACATAGCCAAATCCTATCACAAGTGTTTTCCACGTTGAAACATAATTTTCCACGTTAAAATACATGTATACTCATATTCCTTACCTTTCTTTTGTTCTGTTTTGTTGATGTCATTTCTCTCATCAGTAGATTTATCAAGCTCTTTAGCAAATGTCTTCAGTACACCCTCTATGGAGGTAAATGTGTCCTGGGGTTTCCCAAGGGGGGTTCTCAATCTGTTCAACACACAGTACTGGGCTGATTCCCATGTGGCCCAAAACCACAGCATTGCCTCATTGTTATCCACCTGTCACAATGAAAACCAAAATTAGTTGATTTTCATACATATTTTTAAACTACTGTACATTTAATAATTTCAGCAGCACATGAACTGAAATTTTGACAAAATCTTTTCAAAAATCACTCATTGCTTACAAAATTTGCCATCCTAAACGTCTCCATCATTTTGTTATCCCGAGAGGCATCCTGACAGCTGTAAAACATGGCCTCTAACCAATTCCAACTTCCTGATTGGCTGAAAATCCGAAAACATAAAAAAAATTAATCTTCATATCACACAAATCAAATCCTTTCTCATAGACAAAGACATCACTAAAACTCTAGATCACATACATGGGCTGAGTTTCATGCAGTATGTAGGCCATGATTTGTCTGAAGTTCACAGAATGGAATTCTCCATTAGGGATTCGACTGATGTGAGCCCGCCGGGCTAGCCATGCAGCAGTGACTCCTTCTGCTCCCTCCTGAATACTGAGGGACTGATCGTTGTCATCACTCAGATGTAACAGGCTGTATAACCTGAAATAACACGGAAGAAAACTATGAATCTGGGATAGACACAACACTACCAGATAATTCATCACTCTACAGACCTTTATAACATATACATGAGCACTTAAGTATATCATTCAAACAGTTTTTGCCAAACATTATTTCCAAGTAAATCTCAAAATATTATTTACAAAACATCAAAATTTTAAAATTCAATTGTATCAGTTATTTGAAGCAACAAATCAAGCTTTGCTCCTTTCTTGACCTTGACATCTGATATTACCTGGTAGTGACATTGACTGGCAGGACTTTTAGAAGATTCAGGTAGCCCTCTCTGACCTCTGACCTTACATCTGACAATTTGTACACACTGAGCTTCAAAGCACTGAAATGGTACAAAAACTTCAATATATATCTACAATGATTCTCAAAGCAAACTTAAAAAGCCAAAATAAAGAGATTTTTTTGTAGGTGTAGAAATCACAGAATATAATCAATCAATCAATCAAGATTATAAATAAACATAAAGTGTACCTTTGAATCAAGCTGATTGGCAGATTGCTGTTGATTTTATAAACATTCTGTAAACATTTGCACACACACATGGAGATGCAGAAGTCATTATGGTGACCTTAAAAAAAAAAGATTTCATTGACTAGTGTTTTTCCCCTCAGTTGTTACAAGAAAATCAAACTGCTGTCTTCAGCAACAAAGGAAATTCAACCACCATATCACTTACCTAGTTGCGTAATATATCTGATGACATTAGTGAACTCGTCTGAGGAGAAGATGTGTGGGTTGGTCTGAAGACTGCCAATAATATCTGCAATCCACTTCATTCCTAAGCATCTTTAAATGATAAATAAATTGATCAATACCTTTAAATCTAGCCCTGTATTTGTTCAAAATCAGACACAAAGAAAATTGTATAGAGGGTTTCATATAATCATATCATTACTGACTTTTCCCTATATAAAAACAACACTTTTTCCAAAAAACATTTAAATTTCTTGATTTGATGGACACCCTCCCTATAATGGAATCACTCCCTTAAGAATGATGACTACTCCCTCCTGAATATTTACAGGTAGAGTCAATCCAATTTCAATGAATGAAAACATTCACTGGGCAACATTCTCCAAGCCACAGACATATCAGAACCAAGCAATAGGTCAGCTTTTCCAGTTAGTGTTCAATAGTTGATTTTCTATTTCTGTTTACCTGCTGTCATAAGAGGCATGGCCTTGGGCTAGAAGACCTGCCAGCAGCTTCAGAATCTGTGTGAAATTGCCCGCCGTGGTGGGATTTACATTGGCCATTAGGGAGCCATCCAGTCTGGGAGTCTGCATAATCAAACTGCTACTGGACACAAAGTTACCATGTCTGAAAACAGTCATATCTCATAGTCATATCTAACAGATATCTCATACTGTATGTGTGTGTGTTAGGGTGGGTGGGGAAGTGGAGAGCACTTTTTAGTTTTGTTTTGCAAAAAAAAAAAAAAAATGGGGTGGGGGTGGGGAGGGGGGTTATACTCTTACAATAAAATGATTACAAAAACATCAATCATGCATATGAATTTTGAACCCACTGTTCAGAACATTACCTGGAGCAGTGAGAAAATAGAGTGTTCAGGAGGGCATACTGGACAGCTGGGTAGACCTCTGATACGACCTCGTCCAGGGGGCTCAGGTGCTTACTAACTAGGTCAAATATACTGGGAGACAGGGCCCACATCTGTAATACAACAAGAGAGAGTTCAATTCATAATGTTCTTGAATTTATGGATATGATTTATTTGTCTTAATTTCAAAGCAACACATGAAAAGGCATTATAATATATAGGTGACTCTTAATAGCTCAAACTTCAATCTCTCAAAGTTCTTGATCTCTTTAAGTATATCCCTGACTCAACTTTTCCTTTAATAAATCTCAATCTCTCCAACCTTTTTCTCTTAAAGTTCTTGATCTCTCAAAGTGTTTTCAAAGGAATAAAAAAAAAATTCCTGGTAAACAGGAAAGAAAAATACTCTTAAAATCATGTAATATCAGAAACCAATGCCCAAGTTTTGGAAATCATGATTGTTTTTAAGTGGCTGGTTGAACTAGGAGATTTTGATATTACCTGTATATTGAATACATGTATTTTTTTGCTTTGAATGGAACATAATTTGATGGAAGATTTTAAAGATAATCAAAAAGAGAAGAATGTCTACTTACTGCAATCAAATTGCTCTTGGTGTTTCCAATTTCAGCCAGAGCACAGAGATTAAAGATACAAGCTGATTCCGCTTCTGAGACACTGTAAACGACATCAGCATAGGGATTACCAGAAATCACGCTTTTCTCCGTCTTCTCACCGGCTGCTTGTAGCAAAGTGTTAAAAGCACGCTGAAGGTCTCCAACTACATACCTTCAAAGAAAGCAAAAGTTTGTATTAAATCTGACAGTATAATATTTGTTTATATAAAGAATAGTTCTTGTTTAAAAGAGGCAAGTTGGTTTACTTGAGTACATGTATGTAATAGTGCAATATTTACTTAAAGGACTCCTCCAACAGGGGCACACTCTTCAACACCATGACGTCATGATAGGTTGCCAGAATTTGTTGTATAATCTGTAAGAAACAAAAATGTACATTCATTTCTATCAATTTGAACCATTTTCATTACCTATAATTAGCAAATTCACTGCAATTACCTTTGCCTAAAAATATTTATTTTTTAAGTAAAATGTAATCAACTCTGTTAAAAATTTAGGAATTTTTAGCACTTTTTTTAATAATTCAGGAAATTATCACAATAAATCATTTACTGTTACAAGGAATTTATTGCACCTGTTCACTGTGGCAGAAGCGGTATCTCTGTAGCATGGATCCTGGAGAAAACAGCTGACTCACAAAGTTCACAGGTAACTGAATTCCAAATGTCTCTATCACCTGTCAATAACATTTGTATACTAACTTTTTTCCCCCTTTCATTTTTAACAATATATTGTATGAAAGTATTAACTTCCTGATATCATTAACTTTACATGCAAAGTCAAAAACGAAAACTTTTTGTTGGTTATACAGTATCGGAAAGTTAGATTTAACATATTACCTTCTGACACACTGTAAGAATGGAGGTGATGAATTGATAGGAGACGAGCCTCTCTGTAAAGATCTGGTACAACAGGAATGACAATAGGGGCTCCTCACTGTGGACAACCTCTGACCGCAGCTGACCAATCAAAATCAGGATACAGGTGTTGGCTAGATTGAGAAAAGAAGTCAAAGATGGAATTAATTTATACAATGTAGTATCACTTTTCTAAAATTTAAAACCATTATGCATACAAATGGCAAATTCTTTGATAGTTCAGACCAAGAGGTGAGAAAGTTAAGATAAATAAATTAAAAATTTATTAAAAAAAAAATCCATCCCTGAACTTTTCCTTCCTTCTTTTCTGACAAAACAAAGGGAAGAAAAAAGTCCTGTGATACATTTTTCCAAGAGGGGATAGTCTGATAACTGAATGACTTTGTTTAGTCTTACCTTCAATGACCATGTCTTCTGAAAAGTAGTGTCTGGTGGCAGTATCAACACTCTTGGTAATTCTGTCCAAAATCTGAAATCAAAAAAATACTTTACTTGAGAAACATCACCCCATAGAGAACCTTCTCTCTTTCACTGAAACTTATCTAAAACCTACTCATAAACTGAGATCTTTGAAACTGACCTGTGACATATACTCTCGTGTGATTTGTTTGCTGGGGGAAAACTCCTCTCCCATGCTTCTAACCACTGTTGTGAAAACTTTCAGCAGGGCTCCGATTTTGATGATGCAGTCCTCAGGAATGGGGACTTCTTCCTCAGGGTAAGTCTGGTCCCCACAACCATAGGCCAGATCCTGGAAGGATTAAAAACAAAAGGGTTTAGAAATCTGAACTTCTCAAAATTTATCAAGATTTTTTTTCTTCAGTTTTCAGCTTTTAATCTCACTCTATACATACTGAGCATTACAGAGAACACAGTATTTCTTACTAAAAGCAACACTTTTCTACAATGCCTATTAAGTTTATTAAAATTATTTAAATACTAAGTATATATATAAAAAAATTATGAAGATGATGGTGTCCTTTGCTTTGCCTACTATTTTACCTACTATTTATGGTACTGAAAAAGAGAAAGAAATAAAGAACAACATTACCACCTATCCTAACATTTACAGACACCTATGATCTCCTGACAAAATTAGTACCTCAGCATAGGCTTCCATGTCCTCCAGGAACTGTCCCAGCAGTGTGGTGGAGAATGAGATGTCATTAACCCAGTACCTGTGGAACTCGACCAGAGCATTAGACGTGAACTCAATCAGAGTGTCCTTCTGTGTGGAGTCAATGTGCCAGCCCACCAAAATATCAACAGTATCCTGGATCATGCCAAATAAAATGCTTAATGAGGACTCGTATTCAGACAAAAATTTTAAACTCTGAATTCATGCAAAAAAATGTTTTGTGGATTAATGAGATGAGTTACAGAGAGCAGAATTTACCCTGAAGTGAGACGTGAAGACACTGGGATAATTTTTGGCGATATGTAAGATGACGTTGACCACTGAACACAAGAGATCTGGTGTGTCTGCATTCTCCAACAGCGTCTGCACATTGGCCATCACCATCTGATAAACAGAAAACGCCAAATATTTATACACTTAGAAAGGTCCAAGGGATGAAATGAAAGAATTTGAAGTTCAGTATTGATTGGATAATCAAAAACTGAGAAATTGACATTAAAAAAAAAAATTAAGAAAAAATGCCATGTCATGTCACATAAAATTCTGTAAATTCCTCCCATAACTAAATTTTTACTCACAGGCATAAGATTGGCAGTTGCTTGTTTCTTCTCATCATACCGAAGGGTTTCATAGAGTGCATCAATAAACAATGAACGGATGTCGTCATCCACCATATTGTTTGTTTGACAGAAAAGCCACTGAAAATATCTAAAAAAAAATATTCAAGCAATTGATTCTAAATCATGTATTCATTGTGGAGCTTAAACTTAATTTGCCATTTTTCTTTGACATAATCTTCTTGATTTAAATCATTCATACATACGTACATAAATATCAGTCATTTAAAATTAATGTTTTATATCAACTTTGGAGAAGTTTGTTTTGTACCATTAATTTGAACAGAAAAAATCAAATAAAATATATTTAAAGCACTCAATAACTCTAGTAAGCTTTGTTCTACTGAAATTTAACATTTTTTTTTTTTGTTGAAATTTCCAGTATGTACATGTACCTCTGTGAATCATGTCCCATGATTCCTCCAATGATCCCCACACATTTTGCAACTTCTACTTTCACTTCCTTTGGACACAGGGATGATCTAAAATAAATTTCATGGACATTCACAGTAGAGTGTGTGGTTTAAATACTGTATAAGGGGGAAAATAACTTGCAGTGTAAATGCAGTGTAAATATCTGTTATGTTCATGGCATTAATAAATCTGTAATTTCAGGAAATAGTGAATAAGTTTTAAATAAATTCATGCTTCGTTTTTTTTTTTTTTTTGGGGGGGGGGGGGGGGGGGTTATGTGTCATGACTCCAGTAGATATATATTATGTTGTCATACAGTAATTACAAGTTGTACTCATCATTAATTTACTTTAATTACTACATTTTCCTAAAATTCAAATCAGCAGACAATGATCCTATATTGATATTTAAACTGCTGTTTATGTAGTCAATGCTAGTTCAATGATCAAAACATAAGGGTTGTGGGTGTTGATTAACAATACCTGGGGCACTTGTCATCTGATCACGCATATCAATTTTTATCATTTGTGTAACCCTTTTTTTTCAAATTTTATTCATTTAACAAACTTTTGGACTTCCAATAGATATGGGATAATATTATTTTGTTGATGTAACCCATTGATTATTGTGTTACGTGTAAGCATATGGTCAGACGTGTAGTTTTATTGTAATTTCTTATCCCTACAGGAATTAAAATTTGGGGGGACACCTCTTTGTATTCCCTCAGTATAACAACTGTGTGGGTAGTGAAACACCACTCATAGTACAGTAATAGGAAGCTGTGAGGTCATTCAACTTTTATCACCAACACTGTTTCATGGTACTTGCTTCAATCCTCTCATTATTTTAATATTGCTGTGGATCTGAGAGCAACTCAAATGTGGGTAGTATGAAATTTCTTCTTTTTTTTTAAATTTTAAGCTAATTCCACAAATCCATCAAACCGCGGGGAGAGAAAAAAATGAAAATTACAATCCATGGAATTAATCCCTATACAGTATGAGATAAATAGAAGATCTTTAATTTTCTTCTCAACATCATTTTCATTATAAATGGTTTTTCTTTTAATAAAAATCAAGAGATTTTTTGTTTTGTTTCATGGGTGAATATTGAGAAATATTACCTTTCATAGAACACATCTTGCAATGAGGTCCAGGCATCCTCTGATACTTTATAAACAGTCTAAAACACAATAAAAATATATCAAAATATATAATATGGGGTGTCTGTGGAGGGCTTCTGAGGAGGTGTTGCCTCAAAAATGTGTTGTGTTGTTGAAAAATAAAAATATTAAAAAAAAAAAAAAAAATTAAAAAATATATATATATATATATATATAATTCTTAAAATTTTAAATGGATCAGTGCAAACACAAACAAAACAATAGAGTGTTAGGGAACAACATGATAGTATCCCTGTAAACTTTACATATCTTGTGTATATAACATCTATAAAGCAATATCTTATTTACATGTAGGTATTTAGTCACAAAAGTCTCAAGAAAACTGAGAACCCAGTTAGTTCCCACTATTTCCCTGAGACCCTTTTCCTCTATAGGAGTAAATGAACATTTGAGACAACAGCTGGTGAACTTCACAAAGGTTAAGTATCTATAAAATCTCCTCAAATAATATTAGACATAAATTTGGACTTTATTGATTCACAGGGAATTATCTGGCTATTTTTGACTACCCTTTTCAAGAAAGGGGGAAATATTAGAACGATTGATCAATATACGCGCTGGAGGTCTATGGGAGCCTGGGGACATGCCCCCACCTGGAAATTTTCAGAAAAATGTTACAAAAATCTGCATTCTGATAGCTAATCTGGGTGTCATTACTAAAACTACCATAAATCAATATATTTTGAATGTTACATGTGTGTTAAATCAGGGAATTTTTCATCACAAAAAGGGGAATTTTGACTTTTCCAAAGGGGAAAGGTACCCTTTACCAGTAGTTAAAATAGCATTGATAAATCCCTGGTTCATTTCAGATATTCTTGTTCTGCAAGATAAACTTCTTATTCATAAATTCAGATAATATTTACTTGGCAAATGTTTGGAGAAAAAAATCAACATGTAAATTAAAAAACAAACATGTACATTGTATCATCACGCACACACCCTCTTTTACTACAGTGGTTCCCGTTTTATCGGATAGTCAAGTTGTCAGCCTAGTTTTATCCGAATAGCCGAAAATTAGAATAGCCGATTGCTCCATACCGAGTCCAAAGATAGATGTATAGAGCAACATGTATTGATAATACATCGTAGCAAATTTCAAGCTTGCACTTTCGTTTTCTTTTGACATGTTTACTTAATGACTTTACTAAAAACAATTTATTTCACTTACTTATGAATTTAATATGAATTTTTTTTTCAAATAAATTGACGTATAGAATATATTCTTTGATAGTTATTGCCATCTTTCTTCAGCACATGTTTACATTCCTTCTTCGATGGTCGCCATTTTGGAAACGGAAGTAGACTAAATGCTTGACTAATAACCGTACACTATTTTTCCCTGGATAGATTGTAAATTAAAAATAAACAAAAATATTAAATATATGTAATTGTTTCATTTTTATTTGTTTCTTTAATACGGTTACGTATTTTATACTGTGTGTGAGTTTACCAGTCTCGTTCTTGTCCGCTGAAGAGAGATTTTGAGAGCCATGTGGAGAAAGATGGTATGAATTCTGAGACGTATTTTTATAGAATGGGCCATTTGTGATTTTTACCATAAATTTTGCACTGAAAAGTGAATAAATATTGCCAATGGACCAAGTTAAACGATTGAATAGGCTTATTTCATTATCCAAGCAAATTGTTATACACAAGCTAATCAGTTCAATAATTAAAATTTCACGCTGAAAAAATTACAAATAATTGTCATAATTAACAAGTGCATCATTGAACCCAAGCTGATCACCACAACTGTAATCAAAACATATCTATTTACTATGCCCACTATTGACACAGGTAAGGTGCCTGTGTGCGTCCAGCCGTAACTAATCCCCTCATTGTCGTACTCAAGCCAGTCAAGGTAATTGGTGTCAAACTGTGTAAACAAAGGCTTCACATACGAAGTTGGAGGTGTGAACAAGGTGTTGATTATCAAAAAACACTATGATAGTCCAAATTTTTGTATCGGATAAAACGAAATTCCAATATTTTCTCATCAGAATATCAGGTGAAATTATTAATAAATATATAAGAAATGGTTTTGTGCTCTGATATTATATTGAAATAGCCGAAATATTCGTTAAACCGCTATCCGATAAAATGGAAGCCACTGTATTTACATAAAAATGAATTAAAACAACACATGCAAGATATTTACCATTAGAGTTTTCTATACCTTTATTCCATCTGAGGTACGTAGATAATCTCGAAGCTGTTTGGCAGATGAGATCCTCCTTTCTTTATCCCCATCTCTTACGACTCTTCGGATGTACTTAGAAAGCCTTGAGTCATCATTGAAAGCCTTTGTTGAATCTGTAGTAAATAAACAAGTCACAGCCTTTGTAGACTTTGTGAACATATGATTTAAAATTTTACAAATAGTATTTTAATCAATATTTTTTTTCTACTTTCACTTTAAACATATGCAGCTGTGCACAGTTATGGAAGATATCGAATGATCAGTACCTAGATCCTTTGTAGTATAAATCTCAAGTCCATTACAATACACACTCTCCACATTCATTTCAAATCATATTTACAAAGCATTGGAAAATAAATAAATTTCATTTATCCACCGAACAAATAACATGTACATGTACTCCATATTTGTCAACACATAGGTAAACTCTGAAGATAAGGACAGCTGTTACACATAACACCTGTCACAGCCGTATAACGTTCTCATTCTATTAGACAGCATTAACTGTTGTTCAGTAGTCATGATGCAGTCTGTAATGACATGTCATTGAATTCAGATGGTGATTTTTTTAATTCTGCATCCATTGCCCTAGCTTGCAGAACTTTGCACCAAAATTTTCCTTTGAGCATTTTTGGCAATTCAAGGACTGAGTTATTGTGGCGTATGCCTAATTAAGAGATTCTGACAGAATAAGGACCATACCTGATCTTTTCACTTCAGTCTTGAAGGATGAAGACTGGTATGTTCTGGAATCTAACTTTTCATAATGACGACTGCGAGAATGAGGACTTCTTGCTGGATAAGAAGAACGTTTGTCATCGTCCCTTTTCAGTTTACCATTCCTGCTATTTATGGGGTTGATTTTCATGTTCGGTCGCGAATCTGATTTTCTGTCGAACACTTTCGGTTTGTCCGATATTTTGGGTAGCTCGGACTTTTCGCCGCATGCATTTTCGTTTACATTGTTAATTGGTTTTTCCTTTGAATTTGGAGCATTCCCGTCCGCTGTAGCATCTTGCTTATCAGGCGGTTTACCTTTCGCCCCTATGGACTTCTCACTCATTACATCTGCTGTGCGTGACAAGAAAAGGAATCATTTTACACAAAATTGTTACTTTGACACATATTCCTCGTCGCCATCTTCCTTTTTTGAAATCTATCTCCGCAGTTACGAAATGATTATTAAAAATGAAATAGATCTAACAATAATGAATTGTGTGCGCAAAATCTAAGGAAAGAATAAACATTTCATTTGTGTCTCAATCTTGTTTAGTGTACAGTGTACACATTTATTTTTTTTATATAAAGCACCCTTTAGTGGTATTTAGATAAGTTGTACCATGGATTTCAAAGATCTATGGTCAATCTCTACCCAGAGTTATCGTTCCCGCTACGCTCCACTTATACTTTGTTGTAGCGAGGCGTAATACGCCCTCTGGTGAGAGATTGATCTATGGTGTTAAATAAGATGTGGGCACAATATTTAAAGAGTACCTCTTAATCTTTCAGTCTAATAATTGTTTCTGAGATAAAAATGATTGCCAGACAATGAAGCGTTTTGATTCAGGTTCAAAAGGTCAAAGTTCAAGGTCATCATGGTCTGATCTTAATTTTTAAAAATTTGCTATAGATACATGAGGCCAAGGAACATTATATTTACAGCTTCATTATTTGTTTTACGTCTCTTAATTATTTGAAAAGGTACCCTCCAGTCAGACCAAAAAAAAGGTAAAAAGCATATTCAATAAACAGCAAATTATTGACTAAAAATGAGAAAAAAAGTTGTTTTAGGTTTTTTTCTTTATCTTCAAATACTTAAATCGTGAAAAATTGCAAATTCACCATATAGCATTGAAATGATACAGCACACATAAATTTCTTTAAAGTTTTGCTTTCTTACTTGAGATTTTTTATTTGTTCTTTTTGTTTCAAAGATTAATAATTCTGTAGCCTTTAAAATTCTACCTTTCCGGAAAAAAAAAATCAGAGGAAAATTGTTAAAATTTGAAAAACTTGTGTTTTTGCTTGTATGAACCGACAGGGTGGGATGGGGGGGGGAGGGGGTATAAGTGCCCTTTCTTCAGTAATAATGTCTGGAAGAAGAAAAAAAAAGGTTCAAAGTTCAAATTGCTTTTTAAAGATTTTAGCTCGAATAGGTTGTCCTTTCCCCAAACAAGACTAAAACATATGGAATCAAATGATTGAAGACATCTTTAATTAATTGTATACATCATTAATTCTTTTATTGCGCACAATGATTCGAATTGATGCGCGCATTAACTCTAAAATGCTTCTCCTCAATTCTATTGATGCGCGTATCAATCTAATATATTGAGAGCAATAATTAATTTGATGCGTCATTGATTCAGTTATTACTCTCATCAACTCTGATGTACGCATCCATCTGGTGTATAGTTTTTTGTTGTTTTTTTTTACCTCGGTATAAATGATTTATTTAATCACTTTAATTCAATAGAAGATACCTTATCATGAAGATTATGCGCGCATCAGTTCTTCTCAGAGAACAGTAGTTCTAATTTAAGAGATCATTATCAGAAGTTCCTGTTTTTGGACAAAGTCGTAAACAGATATGGACAATGAATATATATCAGAGCATGAGCAATAAACAGTGAAGCTTTGGTTCGAATTGCTGAGGTTGAAAAAGTTGGCATCCAGACGTACAATGACTTTATATATGGAGACAAGTCACTCCAGCATTATATTTCCACTTTTGGCTATACAAGTACTCTGTAAAAAATTATTTGAGAATCCTCAGCTGCAGGTTGATGATTCCAGTTTTAAACAAAGTTCTCTTTTGAACGCAGCTATGTTAAGGCTTCCCGAAGCTTTAAAATGCGCTCAAAACATAATATGTCATTGCGAGGTCAGTTTTGGTTTTAATTTATAAGTATTGAACTTTAGTACTTCCAATTCATATAAAGGGTTTTCTCGGCTATATATTAGCATATTTGTTATGATATCACATGACTTTGTTGATCACGTGACGGTCATTTATAATTTTGTGAAGTGTTTCATATAAATCGCTTCGGCGCAGCTGATTAACACAATAATTATTAACATTTTGTTATATAAATAAACTCATCGTATCCTTGTGTATCCGAAATGTGCTTGGGAAAAGTCATAGTATTACTTGGGTACAAAATATTTCCTGAGAAATTCAACTTACCTACAAAATTGAGGGTATTTTCCACACAATATCGTAATCTGTATTAAAACAAAGCCAACACACATTTTTCCCAAGCAAGATTCAGTTAGAGAACAACCTCTTCTTACAGATTTCCACAAAAATTCTCAGATTAATCCTCATTAATCACCTGCGCCAGGCTCTTTTATACATACAAAACAAATTCTACCTCCAATCACGGGTATAAATAGAGTACATTTCAAAAGTATATTTTTCATTAGCATTTTGAACATGATGAATTTCAATCAAGGGTAGGTAAGCGGTGTATTTTAAAAATATTCGGACATATAAGACTTAAAAAACCTTTAACGACCCGTGGATTTTTCAATAGCTATCTAGCATTTTACATGCAGTTTGAAATAAAGAGTAAAGTTCATGACACTCTCCCCGTCATAGCACCTCAAGTTTGCAGTGACCTGACGTCATTTTCCATTATGACGTCACATTTTGGTAGTTCAGAGATGTAAAGGCACAGAGTGCACTGTCATTTTCTACGGGAAGCCTTAACCTACCTGCGAAAGTCCACTTTCATCCGGTGAGAAGGGGGCAACAGTACAACCTGAATTACGGGAAAATGTTTAAATTCGGAAGTACTATGCATCGATTAAGAGATTCACTGATAAAATATATGGTAATTATATATAAATATTTTCGGTATTGTGATTTGATAAGATAAATTTTCGGAAATCGATTTTTGGTTATGCAAAACTGCGCCATGCGCCCTCTGCCACGACGGGGTAAACGCGGAGAAATCCCTAGTCAATGCGGTATGAAAATAATGGCCTAACCATTAGTATGATAGACGTCAGTCATCATTAAATCTACCAACAGATTGTATTTGCAAACAAGGCAATTGCATCGACCATAGAATTTGCGAAATGCTGACTTTCAAAGAAATTGGAAATACCCTTGCATCATCAACATTTTTGTCAGTAGGCTGCCTAGTTTTCGAAATTGTTCGTACAGAGAACATTTTAATTATTGCACTAATCAATTCAATTGTTGATATCATTTATTCATATAAAGGGAGCATAGTTCAATTAGTGTGCGCATCAATTCAACAAATTAACTAAGATGCAAACAATTTGAATAAATGCGCTCCTTATGTATAATTCAGTATTCAAATCATAATTAATTATTTGAAGTCTTAGACTGAATTGTAGTGTCCATCAAATGAAATGGTCTTCAAATAATTAAAAATATATCAAGATCTTTTTTTTTTTGTTTTTTTTTTTTGAGTAATGTTTATTTTGCACTCTATAGAAATCGTTTCCCTGGCGCCTGCAGCACAGCACTTGTTTCGTATTAAATTGTTTCGGACCGACAAATGATGCACTACACACAACAGACGAAAACAGATAGCAATAGGTCACTTGAGTGACTCAGGTGACTAAAACTACCCGTTTTGAAATTTATCAAAAAGCACAAAAGCTCAGGGATATTAAAATCTCATTCGTCTGTCTGTCTTTCAGATAAGGAAAAGTGCCGGTGGCCTGCAGTAGTAGATTTATAGACCGTCTGAGAGCTGCAGACTGTATCTGTACATGTAATGCAATGTGTCCTTGATGATCTTATCTAAGGCCATATATGGTATGCAAGAATTAATACTCCTTACAAATTCTAAATGATAGCATGAAACGTACAAGTTATTAAATGAGCAGACTACTAACAATCGGAACTTATCGGATGTCTCCCAAACTCGATAATGTGTCATTCGAGAAGTTCCGATTCAACAGCAAAATTACTGCGGTCCTAAAGAAGATGGCTGCCTCCAGAGGAGAGCCTGTCGTGTTAGCAGAAGATATAAAGGATAGTAATATCCTTAATGTTGATGCGTGTTGTACTGAAGGCGATGTTATTGTTACCCAGAGTTCGAACTTGATCAATTTATACAAGGTATTTGTTTCCAAAAATCGAAAGAATTTGTTAAATTAGTGTGGAGTAAACAGCGTTCGAATTTCCTTTAATATTGTTGATGAACCCTACTTCAATGCATGTGAATAATATATGAAAGTTTTATGCAGAAATCTAATCTTAAATAGCACTGTAGACTAAATCACTTTACAAATAAAAGTGTTTCAACATACCTACCTTTGTCAGACTTTAGTTAATTATTTACACATCTGTTAGAAGAGTTTTTAGATTTGATATGTATCCGCATCAAGATACTTATAAAGGAATAACTTTTGGTCAACAAGTTTTTTTGTATGTCCGCTGTTTAGGAGATTGATCCCTCAGAAGTTCCTAAACTTCTTGGGGATCAATCTAACAAACTATAGGGTTGCAGAAAAACTTGTTTGCCAAAAGTTATTCCTTTTTAAGTATTTTGATGCGGATTTATGATATTTATGGCCAAAATAAAATTTTTCATTTTTTGCCCTGTAAATTTATATCCCATTTTGGATATTATACCCAAGATGGGTTATTAATCCAATTTTGGCGATTGGTTCCAACCTGTTTAAGAACAAAGGCTGACTACCAATATTTGTTAGAAGTAGTATCTTGATTGTGCGACTGTTAGAGCGAGTGCAGATGTGTATCACTGGATACCTATTCAGTTTTGACTTAGATCCGCCTCTTCAAACTGCATGAGACATTTGGAACATCTTAGACTGTGATGTCACATGACATGGTATGTGCATTACCATAACGAAGTCAAAAAGGTGCAAATTTTAACAAAGATTGTTTAATCTACTATTTATCTACAATATCCATTAAATCAAGGTGAGTTTATTATTTGGTGAATTTTTTTGTTACTGCTAGAACATAGTTCACACCTTATCAGCAAGATGCATTTGCATTGCATTTGGGGTCTAGAGGTAAGTGTGGAAGATAAAACATTTGGATCATTGTGCAAAGTCCAAATTTTCTCTTTGCCAAGGCATTGCTTTAAGAGCTCGCTTGGCGCCACTAATATATATATATATATATATATATATATATACATATATATATATATATATATATATATATATATATATATATATATATATAAGAAATCCACCCACCTGCCTGCCACATTTTTTTCAAATAATTTGGATGAGAATCTAGGAATTCATTTATCTTGGTCTTATATAGCTTAGTAGATCTGGTCCTTCTGATTTTTCTCTCCATGCTCAAATGTTTTCTTCAAATATAACATTCAATGGATCAGTCTTTCCAAGAATTGACTATCTAATGCCTAAAAACTTTCTGATATTTATTAGGATAAAAAAAAAAAAACTATATTCGAAACAATAAATAGGTTGTAGTTTTTTAGCCAAATTGGTGAAAAGCTTAAGCTTTCACAAATCTTTCAATAGTCACTCTTTAAAGCCATATAATTTTTCTTTTTGTTACTCAATGATGGCCAAGAAATACAATACAAACATACAAATTTTCTCACATTGCCTTACGTAAATGTATATGTCAGGAAACTAGGTATGAAAATTGCACTGATCCTCCTGATTGTAGTTGCTTGAAATACATAAACATACACATGTTATATCTGTATACAGTCAGACCTCGTTATCTTGAACTTGATGGGCAGAGAAAAAACTTTGAGATATCTGAGGATTCCAGATATTGAGTGTAAAATACTTTAAGAATAAGTGGTTGGGACTTCCAAATCACTTGCACATATCCATGGTATTCAAGATATCAAAGTTCAACTGTATTTATATCATTATGTATTTACAGATTGATGACCAGAAAGCTACACAGAGCTGGTCAACAAAACACAATGAGCACATCACAAGTTCTGTGATATGGAGTGAACATGATCAGAAATTTATCACCGTTATCAACGAGAGGGTGAGGGCATGTTTTAGATAAATTATGAAGCATATTGTATAATTAGAACCTTATTCAGGAAATGCCCCTTGTTTCTGTGATCTTATTAACAATTTATGTTTCATGGCTTAGCCGAAATTCGATATATAAGTGTAAACTTTGTAAAATTCACCTATAGTTATTAGTTTAACACATGCTTTTTTAAATAGACTATTAGAACTTGGGAACAACATGAACAGAACTTTGAGAAGTCAGCCACTAAAAATGTAAGTTTATATTCAGCTGAAAATATTTATATTGAGGCCAAAATAAAAAATACTTTTATTTCCCCTAACACGACCGACCCGATTAAATCACGCCGACTGAAAAGTTTTTTTTAATAAGATTATTCAAATGATTTTTTTTAATGATTATAAATTTTTATAAAATACAATTTCATCAAAATCCGTTTTTTATCAGAACGGCCGACACTGTGATTTTCAAGTGTTTGCTGGAAACAAAATGGGGCCCATAACATGTGGTCATAGAGGAATACTTTATTTGCGGTGTTATAAAACAACGGCGACGTATCAACCTTTTGCCTTTAGCTTATTCGAATCCTACAAGCTTGAAAATTTCGATAATAAAATATACCATAACTAATTAAGAGTGTTTCGGTGGTATTTGCAATCCTGTCTTTTGAAATTAAGGTACTTAGTACATGACAAGGCCCACCTCATGAGCAGACGAGGGGGCCTACCTTGTGAATACATCGATCAATTTCACTGCATTTTATTTAATTTGAGTTATGATCTAATAAACAGTTCATCTAAGTTCCATAATCCTGAGTTGTAAATATGTCTGCATTTTTCATCCTCATGAATATAATTCAGACATCCTTTCTTCATGCCTTTTATTCATGGGTTAAATTTCATGACTATGACATTGTGTATGGCATATTTATCATTTTCAGATATGGTTTGGTTCAATTAAATACTGAAAAAGTACATGCATTGCATTAAGCACTGGAAGCTCATAGTAGGTTTGAAAAATACTTAAATGTCCAGTCTTTGCATGTATCTGCGAATCTTGTCTTTTTAAATATTCGATTTCAATAAATTTACACTTGTGTGAGATATTGTACAAGTTCAATTGAATAATACCTGTGAATTCAACTTAAATTTAGCTTTTCAACGGCATTTGTATGATATTCTGTTTACAAATCGCTTTCTTTTGTACTGTTCTTATTCATAATGGCATGATTCCATTAAATTTCAGAAGGTATTTTCAAAGCTGCTGTCAGAAAAAAAATATTTACCTACCTACCTACCCAACTCGAGATTTTAGGGTTGGGTTAGGGGAAACAAAGATATTTTTAATGATGGCCTGATTACTACAATTATACACATTCAAAGCAAATCCAGGGTCAGTTATAATGATCCTGTTGTACATGTAACTGTAAGTCATTATATCCATTTACTTTACAGTTGGTATTTTACATTTTCTCATAAAGAACATGTGACTCTTCTCAATTAAAATTTGATTTACCCTATGTTACTTCCCAATCCCAACCCTACTTCTTAGATTGGTGATTCAAATGGTTTACCTGTTATTTCTATTTTTCAACATGTTCAAAGCAAAGTATTATATAAATAGTGCATGTTTTTGAGGGTAACAGTTGAAATTGACACCTCTTAGAAAACTATTGTCAACCTCTGCTGACGTGTCGGTTGACAATGGTATTCCGAGGGGTGTTAATTTCAACTGTTACCCTCAAAAATATGCACTATTTATTTTATTATACTGAATGTCTTATTAATTTAGGATGCCAGCAAAAAAATTCTGTAGATCGTTGTTAAGTTCACATTTAGAAAGCTTTCAAACTCTCCTCTTGTTTTTCTCAATAAGAAAGTTTCGAAAAATATTTACCGACCTTTTTATTGTTTAAATGATACTCAGAGAGTCCTTTATCGTCTGAAGTTTTGGTATTTCTGCACTTGCAAGCATTTTTCATCTGTCGTTTGTTGTTTTCAATCAAGCTACATCGGATGCAAGCTTTGATTGACATCTCGTTTATTCAGCTTCTTTCAAACAAAACAACTGACATTTTGAGAATTCTACAGCAAACCGTACAATTTACACACATGTGACATAATCGTTGTGTTACCAGTTGTAAAGTGTATTGCTAATGCTGAGGGTAACATTACAAATTGTTAAATGCATCTAAACCAATCAGATTTTAGTATTTAGCATGAAAGTATAATAATTTATAATAAATGTAAAAGAGGAAGCAAAGAATCACATTAAATGTCGGCTTTTACACATAAACAATAGGTATTTTAGATTCCTGAAGCAATATATAGTTTAGATAACATATGTGTGTTTTTGAACTTAGTACATGTTCTGAGTAAATTTTCCATAGGCTATATGTCCAATAAAGGGGATCCTTCCAGGTAACACTACAGAACCAGTTGTAGTATTTAAAAATGGAGCTGTGACCTTCCTCAGTAAGGTCAAGGACATAAAAGAGGGTCCCCTGATTGATAAAGATGAAATTTTGTTCTGCGATCTGGTGAAGATAAATTCTGATCTATGTGTACTCTGTCTTTTGCAGCAAGAGGTAAGATTAGTCATATATGTCTAAAGGAATGAACAGTTTTAGATTTACAGTCATTTGCACATAAAAATTCTCTCTCTCACTCTTATATATTATATAAAGGTGTAAATATGGTTTATTTTAAAAACATTTTAAAAACAAAAGTAGCATAATGTTGCCTTAAGGGTGGTATACTGTTATTAGATATAAAGTCCTTTTTACAGAACAACCTACAATTGATGAGTCACTGGTACAGAAATGAGGAATGGATTCGACATTCTGAACCTGTCCAGATGCCTATAAATACAGAGTTTGTCAGCTGTCACACTAGTCTTGGTAGAGATAATGTCAAAATATTCATCTTATGTAAGTATGATGGAGATGTCTGTGCTCAAGTCATTTTGGGGGGTAATTTTCTCATTGTATGTCATTGTGAGCACCAATTTGGCACCAAAAATTAATAAAAAACAAAATTTACCAAAAAGGAAAGCATTCTTTTATTTTTTGATTGAGAAGGTTAAAATCATCTAATTCTTGAGTTCTTTTTAGAAAAAAGTCTCGTTTTATACAGGAAAAGAATTTTCTTCTCAATAACTACAAGGCTATTTTAGTCATATTGAATGAAGCATCCCCATGATGTGTGGATTCTGAGACACCTTAAAGTTAGGATGGGGCCATAATATTTAATCACAATTTTTCATGGGAATACAAAGGAGGAAAAATTGTTAAGAACAACAGGGCTAAATTTACTCAAGTGAGCATTGTGGTCCATGGGCCTTTTGTTAGAAGTTCTTATGATAAAATGAAAAAAAATATTTATTTTTTCAGGTTTGAATGGTGATTTGTTATGTCAGACTCTGACATTCCATCAATCTTCATCAGAAGTGTTACAGACCATATCTGGAGTCACCAAGGCAACAAAAATGGTGGCTCTGAATTCAACTCACATAGTGCTAGCAGGCTGTGTCAAAGATAATCAAGGTAAAGTCATTACTATATTGATATTTAAATTATAGTTCATATGATAATCATATAAAATCTTATTTGATTACTATATTCATACAATGTAATTGTTAATGGCAATTTTTTCTTTTATGAACATGTGCAAAATACTAATTTATTAATAAAGATGTGATTTATTTTGTAGAGATTATTGGAATATTTGACATAAAATTTGGAACGTATGAAATTTGGAAGAATCTACCAACTCTAAAGAAATCAACTGTTAAAGTATGATTTTTTTTTGTATGAAATATTAATTTGATACTTCAGATATGCAGAAAAGTTTTTAAAAAACTGCAGGAGGAAGTGAAATTTTATTTCAGTGCTTTGAAATTGTAAGTTTGCTTACTGTAAATCATGAGAACTTTATTTTGCATACTAGTAAATGCGCAAGATTGTTTTGATGTGAAATGGAGTTCTTGTAAGTAATGAGGGTATTACAAATCACAGACTTATTTGGAGCATTGGCAAACATTATATCCAGTGAATAGATATAAAGCTATTTTGTCACAAAAGTAAAGTTATTTAAAATATATGTGATATACAGTATATTTGTATACATTTTCAGTTGTTTGTTCTACATGGACATCTGTTTGTGCTGTGCCACCGGACTCTGTATATGTATTCCTATTCCTGCCACCCTTCCACATTATCTAGCATCCTAGGTCACCAAAGGGTTGACATGCATATTCAACATGACCCAGCATCCCCAGGACCTTTGACCTGGTCTAAATCAGTAGGTTCACATACATTTATACTGATCAGTAGGTTCACATACATTTATACTGAGAAGACAACTTCAATACTTTGTTATCTTTTTTTATATTTATGTGTAGAGGGTTTCTTTCTCCTTAAAAAATATTTTGATATCTATTACATGTATAAACAAAGCCACGTTTTGTATACCCTGGTTTTCATTCAAAAATTCATACCCTCTGTTATAAAGTCTTTTTTTTTTAGAAGTCACCTTCACCAAACACTGAAGCTAACAAACTGTTTTCAGAGTTACAAAATATATACACATGCAAGGTAAGTCATTAAGCTAACCTATTTCATTTTTTGTTAAAGAAAAAAAAAAACAAGACCCCACCACACCCCCAAATAAAGAAACTGAAAAGAATGTAATAACTTCTCTCTAATTATTTTACCAGATAATTTCAATATGATGACTGAAACTATGCACAGATTAATAGCAAGTTATTTTTAAAAATCAAGACACAGAAGGAATTTGAGAAGAAATTTTCAAACATTCTGAAAAGTCATGGTGATGATGCCAGTGGTGTGATCAGTGAAACATCCGTCATGGAGCAGATTGTTCAGAGGTGTGTGTCCGATGAAAAGTTCTGGCCTCACAACATTCTAGAACAACTTCTCCTACACCGATTGGTGCCCAGTAGGTAAGTACATATGTCACACAAGTTCTGATCTCAAAGTACATACTGTGGAATCATTAAAATTCATGGGGACCAATTTTCATGGATTGCCTGAATTTTACAGGTTTGAGGGGATGTAATTTTGTGTATTCAACTCATATCTACAAAAGGAAAGATTACTCTTAACCCCAATTGTTTATTCGTTGAGGATGTGAATTCATGGATGCAGGGTACCCATGAATTCCACGATTATTGATCCACCACGAAATCTAATGATTCCACAGTATATATACTAGATCAACCTTTTGTACATACCCCGTAAACTGACACCCAGTATGGCAGTATCACGAGTGTTGCCCACACAGTATTTATGATCAACTTCTGAAACATAGTCTATTGTTTGATATATTCAATCTTAAATAATCAATCTGACAGAATATTAATATTTTCAGATGCATTAAAGACATAGCAGAGGGCCTTGTGAAACATGAGGATTTGGCTCTGCTTTTACAATGTCTCGATTCTGTAGAAGATATTCCAGAAGAATCTCTCTGTGTGTTCACAAATTTTGTTCTCAGGTAAGTATGGTATGTTGCAGCGTGACTTTGAATTAATGTAGAGGTTGAGAAAAAATAAATATCCATTCTCTGTTCTATCAAAATACTGCAAAGATCTTAATAATTTTTTTTTCCAGTATTGATGATGCAAAAGTTTCAGAAGCAGTAAAACTAGATGGATACTCAGGAACCAGCAAAAGCAACCAACCCTTATCAGAGGGCAAAGGTCACATTATGTATCCTTCCTCATTTAATTATAAAAATGAAATAACCAGGCACAATTGAATACAAGGGGCTGGTATTAAATCAATGTTTTGTTGTATCAATTGCAGGTTGAGGGGGTGAGATCAATTTGTAAGACTTTCTTTCTGTAGGGGGTTACTCCATGGAAAACTTGGATATCTGTCACATATTTTTGAGCACTTTTCTTTGAAACAGTTAGTCGAAAGTGTTTATATTTGGAGTTAACCTGCTTCAGTAATGCAGTGTGACCTTCTTTGAAATCTCTCAATTATCAACTTTCTATAAGACATGTAGAAGTGTTTTGTATGCAATGCAAAATATTACAAAATTATATGAGCATTTTTCTCAGAAATTACATATTTCTTGGTATTGAGTAACATTAAAATGATTCGATATCTTTCTTTTTCCATTCAAGTGATAAATTTCCAGAACCTTTATTTCTTCTTTTTCCCAGATGCTTAACACATTAATGGTACACCAATCACAAGTTACAAGTATATTATACCTGTAGTGTATAAAAGTAAATCAGTATGTTTATTCATTATCATTAGCAAAGTTTTTGCACCAATTAAACTAGTGGCAATATTTGATTTACAATTTGCTATCCTTAATTGATCTTCAGAAATAAGATAATTAAAAAGTCGTACAATGATATTTTCATCATCGAGTGTCTCCATCATGTTACCTTCCAAAATGTTCTGGTAAGATTTTTGCAGTTCATATAGATATGTGAGAGACATGGACTTTAAAGGATATCTTAACCTTTGGTGAATTATGTATTCTTTGTAGATGTTGCTGGAGTATTTATGTTATTTGATCAATAACCGGGAATCAAACAGCAACGCAGCACCAGATCTTACACAGGTATTACTGTATAAGTGTTATTTTGGCCCCGTGTTATTTTCACCTTTTTTACTCTTGAAAAACAATTTAGCCCCATTTTAAATGTGGCCCAGACACAGTTGTGTAAGAGAGATAATGCTGTCTTCTTTGAATTCATCCCATTTAAAATTTGCCCTCTTGCAATGAGGGTGAAAATAAAGCAGGGGAAAAAATTTCCCTGTATACAGTATTACAATATTATGTTAAAGGGTATTATGGTGAAAAAACATCTTAGAAATTGTCAAAAAGCAAAATGCTGTTTCTAATTACCAGATCATCATATTTGAAGGAGTTTTTTAGATTGTATAAGTTGTTTTAAGTTGAGGTTTCTCTAGCCTTCTTTTGTAAAGTCTTGCATTGAAGCATATGTTCTACAAATACCCTCTGTTACAAGTATGTTAAATGTGGCCCTTTTTAAAAATGAGATCCTAGCAAGGGTTAATTTATTTTATGAGCTGGCAGTCACATGTCGTGTTTAAGCTATGAAAGTATAATACATATATATTTCAGTTCGAAGGAAAATAAATTTTGTTTCCATGTAGAAAAAATATTGTTTCCATGTAGGTATGTGCCCCTGGTAAAGTTTGTTTTTAATGTTGGTTGGTGCCTATTGTCAAATAGGTATTTGTGTGTTGCTGGTGCCATATTTCATCACATTTTATATTGCAGATTGTGAACTTTGTCTGTGTGCTGATCGATGCCCATTACCAACAGCTTGTTATCTCCCCTGATTCCCATGGCGTGTTGATCAATCTTCATAGCATAGTGGAGAAGCAGGTAAATACAGTAAAGCTGGCCCCGGGGCCATAAAACTTAGATGAGCAAGAAACGTTATGTAAAAGAAATATTATACTTTATTATTTCATAAAGAAATTGAAGCAAAATGGTTAAATTGAAGAAAAATTGATAATTTTTAGATTTTTAGCCTATTCCAGTGTGAACAAGTGCACCGCTAAGCAGAGCATCCCCCCGCAAAAGAGCACATCGATCCCGATATGAATCGTTACTTGCATTATTTCCATTACGCATGCACTCACCCACACACACACAAAGCGCAGTATTACTATATTCCCTACAACTCCATTGCAAGGGGATAATTAAACTGATCCTGACAGTGACTGGAATTATATAAAGTAGAAATATTTCACAAAAATATTAGATTGTTTGGCTGTAGTAATATTTTCAATTTTTTAAAAAATATGATTGCCTAATATCTCTTTTCTATTTTAAACCATTCCTTGAAGATTTTATCCATAGATTTTTATTTTTTTTTTTTACTGAATATCAACAATTTATTTTTTCATATTCATAAATATTTTTTTATTTAAAAAAATTTAAACTGTCTACCTGACTTTTCTTGACTTGCTTTATTACATTTTTATGATATTCATTCTTTAACACTAAATTTGAGGCTCTCAGAGTCTTATTTCAAACCCAAAAATTTTTTCCAGGTTCTCTGAAAAAAAAAATCACATAAAATAATTAATAATATTGGTCTTTTGATGATGAAATCATGTTTCAAAATAGATACTCTAAACATCCCTTAAATACAAGTTTGGTGTGGCATACCACCTTAAATAACATATTTCACCAATCTCTCTCTTTCTCTCTCTCATTATATGATTAAAAAAAAATAAATCTGACATTTCCAATCCACAACTTACAGTAGCAAATACTTAAAGGAAGTGATTAAGATCTTTTTAGGTACATTTATACATGCACACTTAAAAATTCTTTGGTAACTTCCTAGATAAGTACTTGACTTGTTGATAACACAAGGAAATTCCTAGTACCACACTGTTTCTGTGAATTGCTAACAACTTGGAATTTATTAATTCTTCCTCATGTGTTTTACTTGTAGAGAGAATACTTTGCAGAATTCCTGACATTGGATGTCCTACTTTCACAGCTAAAAAGACAATTTGCCATTCCACGCCCCCGCACCGTAGGAAAATACTGCATGGAAGTCCTGCATGTTTATTGACGATTGAAGATTTAGCAAAGTGCTTAGATTTCAATTATGTTTTTGTCATAGGTTAATTCTAAGTATTTTAAAAGATTGAAGTGATACATGTATTTTCAAGTACAGTTGAACATTGGTATCTTTAGCATTGTTATCTTGAATATACCATGGATATAATAAAGCCAGTTGGGAGTCCCAACTTCTCTTTCCTGTACATATTTTAATCTCTAATACCTCAAATCCTCAGATATTTCATTTTTTTCTGGGCCCCAATGAGTTCGAAATATTTTATTGATAAAGGTTTGAGTGATACATGTACTAGATATTGATGATTTGCAGTTACATATTGGTAGTTGTTTGACTTGGAGAAAACAGAAGTATTTATAGTTAAACATATTTGTGTTGCATTACATTACAGTTAAATTTGTTTATAAGGAACTTAGATAGAAGGAAATCTCTGCTATGAGGAATCTCTGCTTTTTTTCCATATTCCTCATATCATAGCACCTTCTTATATGGATATAAAGAATTTTGGTCATGAGGAATTGAAAATTCATGTCCTGAGGACTTCCCTAGAAACAAATTTTACTGTAGTTATCAGAGAAATCAAAGCTAAATAAATGAAAAGTCACTGACTTTTTAAGAAAAAGGGCAAAGGTGTATGGAGGGGGTGGGAGGGAGGAGTTTTTCAGTGGGGTTGGAGGGAGGAGTTTTTCAAAATGCAATTGTACTTTTAAAATTTAATTTGTTTTGTCTTTAATTGTTAATGGTAGTACCAAACTCTCAGAATTTTATTAGTAACATTTACATTATTTTTTGGACCACTCAGTAAAACATTAGAAATTTTTTACTTTTCTGTATAGTTTTATTTAGGAAACAATTTTTAAGGGTGTTGCAATCTTTATTTGACACTTCTTCATAATAACTACTGAACATTAGAGTTATGCTAGGTATGTAATAAAGTGAATTTTATACAAACATTGTAATTGCTTGATTTATTTTTATTTCTGTTGAAAAAAATACATGGCAAGAGAAGGGTTGTTTGAGGGGGGAAAAAGAATGTTTGTTTTACATAATACAAATTTGTGTGGAAAATTCGCCAGGTCATTTTATTAGTTTACTATTGGCCGCTAGCAACAAAGATACCGTATCGCAATGAAAATAAACTACGGGGCCATCAAAATAGATCATTAACACATCACTTCAGCTCGGGGCACGGTGAATTAAAATTTTACCAGTCTTCTTTTGATATAATTAAATGTAGATTAATTATATAATAATAAAGCGCAAACTATTTATCAGTTTATCGAGGATAAATATTAGTGCAGTCACACCGGATTTTGAAAATTGAAAAACTTTGGGTGTTATTTAAATATTTACTATTTACACTGGACAAAAAGTTTGTAAACAAAACATATTTTCACACGTGTGTGTCAGCTGTGAAATTGGATTTTCCCTTCACACTCTCGCGAGGTGGCGCACTATAGAAGTATTACACACATGGATGTGCGCGACGATTTGACCATGCTTGGATAAACTCGAAAAAAGGTTATGTTATGAATGGATTTACTACTCAGGTAAACGTGTTTTAGTATTAGCAGTGTCTCTGCAATGGATTAAATATTAACTTTCTGGATTTTTATCCTGTGTTGTGAATGAAAGATTTTGTGATAACATGGACCAACAGGACTCGGGTGAGTTTGCTTTTTAATTTCGATTTTTTGGGGAGGAGAAAGTGAAATATTAACCGTGGGACGGGATTTTCCGGGTAGCTTGTACGTGACACAGTTCTTGTAAACATCGGACACTACCAGTTGACAAGTTAACAATTTACAACTGAAATAATCCGTAGAAACAGAAATTGACAACTGAAAAATTGTGAAATTAGATCCTGTTATTTACCTGTCGCAAGTCTTAGTGCGCGATTATATTGTAATGTTAATTTATTCAAAATACCCAGCGTAAAAAAGTGATTTCTCTGAGTAAATCAAGATATTAATATATGCGCTGAAGCTCCATACTATGTTTCAATACAAAGCCACGATTATGATGGAAAGAAAACCGTATTTCAAAGGGAACATTTATATTTTTTGAAGGTAATATCAGCAAGCACCTAGCAATATAACTCAGAGAGAGATGAGAGAGAGATGTTAGTTAACCAAAAAATCTCAGAGAGAGAGAGAGAGATGTTAACAGAAACTTTGGTATCGAGTTTCATCTGTTAATTTGATTTTGGATAAGTTTATTTTTAAGGAGGCAATGAATGTCCATAATATTCAGTCAAATATTAATGTATTCTGTCAAATATTTCCCTTGATTAGATGGACTGATTGGGGCCAGGGGTTAAAAAAAGGGATAGGGAGTAGGTGGGTCTACAGGTCCTTCACTGAAAATCTCTGAACAGAGTAGTAATGAAATCTGTCCTTGTGTGTAAAGGAACAGATTCATTCAGCTGTTGGTCGATTTTGCTGTACGATTATAATTTTCTATGACATGACAGTCACAAAAAATCAATATACACGGACAAAGCGAGTAAAATTAATGGATCAAGAAATGCATAATTAGTTTAGCTTAACTTAGCCAAATACATGTACCACCATGAAATATGCCTTTTTCAGATTATTTCAGAGATGATGAAAGAAAGAAAATGAAATTCATAATCTTCTTGTATTTGTACTTTTTATTTGAATCAGTCTTTGAAAAAATATGTTGCACAGTTACAGGGCCATCACCGGGTTTTTGGAAAGGGGGGTGTGGGGGAAGGTGTGGGAGGGGTACCCTTTCCTCTGAGCCAGATGGGTACGATTTTGGTGGTTCTAGTGCATTCTTGGTCATTTTTTCTTATTTGAAATAAACAAAATATTACAGTATTGCTTTATTAAAACAGATTAATTTACGAAGAAATTGTGTTTCAAATGATATTTTAAAATTATTCTTTTAATAATAAAAGATTTGTGTGTGTGTTCAGAGTGCACCCAATACCCCCCACCCCCCAATTTCCGATGACCTTGAGTCATTGACTAAGTATGAATAATAATGATTTGTTTGATCTAAAGATAACTGTTTTAACACTTTGTAATTAAAAAAAAACTTTTAATACTGCTTAATAAAACTTGTTTGCAATAATCATCTAAATCACTTTCCATAAAAGTGCACAAATAGACTGAGATGCTATTTTTATATGAAAGTACAGCTTGTGTGCATTTATTGTGGGTACTTCTGTCACACCAGAATTTAAAGACTACTAAACAGATGTGGCATTAGCTAACCAATAATTTTGATGTTGGACATCATATCAAATTCCCGATCATGACAAGGAGCTCACGCCGGGCGTGACCGGTCGGCAGGGGATGCTCACTCCTCCATGGCACCTGATCCCACCTCTGATGTTTTTGGAGGTCCGTGTTTGCTCTGCTTCCGATTTGTATTGTTTTAATGGACTTTGAGCTTGAATACTGTTTGTTATTTCCATATTTCATCCACACAGTCCCATAGCAAAATTATTGGATTGCTCCAATTGCAAAATTATTGGATTGCTCCTCTCAATATCTGATTTATTGGACTGTGTTTCTCTGTAGTACATATGTACATGAATATGTATGAATACTAAATTATTTTTAAGGGTATAGCAAATGCTAATATTGTATTACATTTTTTTTGGCACCAGAGGTTGAGGTATGGCCAGACATTGCTCCTTCAGAACTGATCCAGCATGCTATCCTGTTCTACAGCCAAGGTCCACTGAATGGGCACCTCACAGGTAAAAATTATATCTCACATATACCTCACATACAGTAGGGAGGGGTCAGCCAAGGTCCAGTGAATGGACACCTCACAGGTGAAAATTATACCTCACATATACCTCACATACAGTAGGGAGGGGTCAGCCAAGGTCCTCACAGGTAAAAATTATACCTCACATACAGTAGGGAGAGGTCAGCCAAGGTCCAGTGAATGGGCACCTCACTGGTAAAAATTATACCTCACATACAGTAGGGAGGGGTCAAGAAAACTGAATCCTGATTTTTATAACTTCAGTGTCCCCTTTACATATTATATGTACCGGTACCATGGGATAACTGGATAAAAATAACATATTTAATTTACTCCATTCACTCTTTAGAAGATTTTTTAAAAGAATTAAACAATGATTAAAATCATGTAAATTTTTTATTACATTAAGTATTATATAACCTTTATAGAAAGATATCGGTGATTGTTATATAATTACATGTACATGTATATGCAAGTTCATTACTGTGACATACACATTGTGACAAATGACCTCTGAGAATTTATGCTGTAATGTATAAAGGAAAGTAATTAATAATTAAGAGCTTTGTAATTTAAGTAAATGTTGCAATAAATAATTAAGAGCTTAACAAAAGGAGGGGACATTTTAGACTTTGGTTGAGTAAATTCCAGTGGTATATAGGCACTATGCACACATAGACTTGATTCTGCATTCCTTTTGATAAAAGACTGAGTTTCTGAGTCCATGTTTTGCTCACAATACAAAATTTATGCATGAAGTTGGCTGACTGTGTTTCATAAGAATAAAAATAGAAAAGCCATCATTGGAATCAATGTTAATTAAGATATTTATTAGTTTTTATAAGGGATCAGGTGAAATCACTTGGTTTTATATATGTGCATGTTTTGTTGCATGTAGTCACATCTGTGCAGATTATGCATTGACATGATAAATTGCCTGTACTACCAGTACTCTATTGCAGCTGTTGTCATTGCTATACTTTTCTAGCCTTATGCAGGAATTTAAGAAAAAAAATTGTTGTTTTGAGCCTTATTTGGGGGTGATACACTTTTTGGACAGCATTTAAAATTTTAAAAAAAATTTTCCTCATAGTCTTCAAATTGAAGGTATATACAGTTCGCTCACCAATTTAAAAAATGAATATGAGCATATGGTTTATTAGATTAAATAGACTTACCAGGACATATACTTACAAAATATGCTAATTTATATAAACTATTTTATGTAGCAAACTACAAATTGATATCTGATTCTACTTTTTACAAATTTGAAAAAAAAGAAAACAAAAACAAAAAACAAAACTACTTTAAATGTCACAGCAAAAAGAAAAAAAAAATTAAAGAAGTAAGAAATGACATCGCAATAGGGATGTAATGATACACTTCCTGATCTAGCTAGGTGTGAAAGCCTGACCCCTCGGGACATACCTACAACATGTTACTGGATATTTGTATAAATATAATGTACAGGCTCGCCTCTGTTATGTTCAGTTTGCCAACCAAACACAATTTTCATCACCTTTAGTATGTGAATGTTTGAGTGGTTATTCTTGTTACAGAATTTTATACCTAAATTATTTTAACTTTTCAGGACCAGTCACTTTATATTGTATAAATTAATTTTCACCCATATCCATGCAGAAAGACACCCCATCTTTCTTTTTCTATTAGGAAGAAACAAAAAAGTCTATTTTCCCAAGATCATTATAAACATTTAATAGAGGTCTGTCTGATCTGTTGTACAGATCAACACCTATTGTCCTGTAATGGTATCCAAAGGCTCTCTTGTCCCTATGTAGATCATGCTGATGCATGCCTTCTGTGGACCAAAGTGATTAACTGTAATTTTACCGTATTTTTGACAACTCTATTATTTAGAGCCTGTAGGAGTTTTAAAACTCTAGGGATTGTACCTATATCCATTCAAAAAAAAGGTCTCTGATCGACATAAGACATTTAGAGGAGGAACACAGATTTCTATCAATGCTATTCCAAAATCTGTTAATGACTGACCATTATGTAATGTTAATGTAAATGAATGGCCCAAGATACCCATGGCTGTATATAGCCGTATTTTATTTTTCAGAGATATTAGCACTCTCTTAACCTTTTAGATATCCTATAGTAGGGCGATGTGTTCTATTGACAGTCCAGACGGTGTTGACTTTTTAGGATTGTATGTTTAATGGTGACTGTCAGGAGTGACCATTCAGATTTTTATCTTTAGACACCTGTTGTCACTTTGCTAGAGTTCCTTTTTGCCATTTTTATTGTGCAATTTTCATGATAAAATTTGAGATGACATCAATTTTCAGACTTTTGACAAATATGAATAATCTTGATAGGAAGGTAATGTGTCACATATGTAATACTGTAATTTCTGATGGATGGACAAGCTGCTTTCCTTCATATATATATATATATATATATATATATATATATATATACATGTATGACTCATCTTACCAACTTATAAGGGCAAGGTTTATTTTTTGGTTACCATTCTTTAAATTTAGTACAATGTAACTGGAAATCCCAGTCAAAGTCAAGGGCATGTAAGCAAGTTCAAGGTTATGTTACTTTCAAATTTTTTACTTGCAAGTTTACCTGAATTGAAGATTATTCACTGTCATATTTATTTAGCAATATATTTTCTTGGAACACTTTAAGAATTAGGATCATCAAACTTTATTAGTGGATACATTTTGGGGCCAGTCAACCAGAAAGTAGGGCATGATGATTTACTTTCCCCCTCCCCCAATTCATTAATTTATTGTCATATCTTTTTCAGCTACATATCAAGGACTCTCTAAGGTTTAGGACCATTAATCCTGTTCAATAGATTCTTCATTAGGTATTTAAATGGAAGAACTCTAAACAGGTCATGGTGACCTACTTTATAGATTTTACTCACATGCATTGTCAAAACTTTTTACACTGTGAGACCTTAAATTATCAAAACTTATCAGCTAATGTATCTTGGTGAATTGATGTGTAGGTCACAGTTCTTTGTCTGGTTGTCAATAGCAACATAGTTTATACTTGTGAGGCATAGGGATAATGAAACCTAGGCATATTTTTCCACGAAAAAGGGTTCATGGTGACCTCTTTTTTTAAATTGTAGGCATTTTCATTGTAACACATCTTTAACAGTATAGAACTCAAGGTCATCAAAGCTTGTCAGTTTTGCACTTCAGAACCTCGTATAAACACTTTTAAATTTCTTCTCTTTTGTTTGTTCTCCAAATTTTCAGGTGAGCATCACCAGGCTCTTGGGCCTTTTGTATTTTTTACACATTACATATGTACATATGTAAATTCACATTGCTTTGTTCACTTCAAAATGACGGATGGTCAAACATATGTGAGACATATCTATGAAATATAAGAAATTCATTTCATATATTTGATCATTATTACAGGGGAGAGAGCCAGAGACATCTTTCTTCACTCCAGACTACCTTTGACAGTACTAAGCAAAATATGGTAAGTAATCATTTACTCAGAGAAATTTCTAGCTTATAACCAAGACAAAGCATAGTTCAGATTAGGCATATAATGATGCCTGCAAGTACTTGCTTTGGAATAGCCAATCTTTTTTTACCATTGCCACATTTCTTTTCACATGTTTGCCTGTTTGTTAGTAGAATTTGGCAAAGCATTACAAAATTTGATAAAGTGGCACCCATCACAAGTGATTTGATTTTCAGTCTGACTAAAATCAGATCCTTGATTTTCTCCTTTTTTTTTGGTCATTATCTTGTGTAAAAAAAAAATAAAAAAGAAGGAGTGGATCGAGGATCTGACTTTAATCAAATTATTTGATTGTTGGTTCTGAAACAAATTAGTATTACTTGAAATTGTTAGAAGGAAAGTTTGTCTGATCAGCCTTGGCATGGGTGTCTTTCAATATCAGAAATGCTCATGTACCTTGATGTTTCAACTTCTTTACTTGCCAGACTTTTTACTCAGAAATGTAAGGCAAGATTAAAATAGCCATTGCAGACAATATGGTAATTCATTTGCTTTTGGTTGAAAGAAATGGGGAAATAGATAATTATCTGTATTGTCTTTAAAGGGATCATATTCAATAAGAATAGAACACACCAAAGATATCCTTATTTTTATAACATTTTGTTTCAAATTCCTTACCAGCTTGATTGTTTAGAATTCAGGGAAATGATATCTTGTGTACACAGATAAGAAATACACAGCTAAAGAATAACACAATACAGACGAGATCATAAAATATCGATGGGGAAGTAAAATTTTTGACATCCCCAAGCCCTACCTAACGATAACTTACAACAGTTGACATGCTATCATTGCAAATATTTATTATACATAATCTCGTAACATAGAGACTACTGTGTGAACTATAGATATTCTCTCACTCTCAGGCATCTTCAGTTGCTAAATTTTTGTCTTTTCATTCAAAGATGAAATATTTTGTTTGACTTAATGTCCCTCTTAAATTTTTGTTCGATGAAAAGTATTCGCGACCTTTCTAAGCTCATTACATAGCAAGGAGAGCTGAGTTACATGTTAGATATTGATAACTTTAGAGCTGTGCCTCTTATATTCATGTATAACAATTTAATATGGATATTCGGGGATCACTTTTGGCCACCTGTTTAGTAGAAGTCGTGTTTAGAAAACTAAAATCGTGTATGATGTTAACAACAAGATATCTGAAAAAAAACAACAGAATTTTACCTTTAAATCAGATCTCAAACTATTTAACCTGCATTTTTTTAACGAAAAAAGAAGTTTCAAATGTCAATTGGTCTAGCATTCTATTCTGGAGACAGGAGAAGCTTGTTTACATACATGTATTTGTGAAAATTTTTATTCAAATATTTATGAAGTTTGTCATCCTGTGTCACAAAGAATTCCATTTGGCATGAATAATGATAGTGGAAAGATGTTATTAATATACAGCTAAATTAAGTTGTAACTTAGGTGGTAGCGCTGGTAGAATTTGTCAAGCCTGAATGTTGCAGGGTTATTTTTATGGCTTTCTCTATGCATTTCATTTGTCAATGCTTAGATAATCTTTTAAGTAAAAACAGATGAGTCATGGTGCTCCATAGAAGGGAATCTCCTTCTGTAAGACTAATTTAGAGAATTATTTTTTACTTTATGTGTACAAAATATTCACCATGATGCTCTTTTTTCTGTAAGATATAGAAAATTGTAATTAATTTTTTTATAGTGTATTTTATGCACTGAACACTCTCTATTTTGGTTGGTGTGTTAACATTTAGTTTTCTGCTGATATACAGTTGAACTTTAATATCTCTAACACTGATATCTCAAATATCATGGAGATATTGAAATTCATTTGGAAGTCCCAGTCACTTTTTGTCTATGTATTTTACCCTCATTTTCTTGAACCCTTGGATATCTTGAAGTTTTTCCATGGTCCCATCAAGTTCGAGATAACAAGGTTTGACTGTAGTTATATTTTTACACGGAGATGTGATTTCTCCTATGGATATATACAGTGTAGTTTTTATATAAGATTATATATATCAATAACCAAAATTCATAAAGATTTTGTTTGGCTTATAAATACAGTATTACTATCTCGCGAAAAATAAGGTGTGGGAAAAACATAGTGTTCTACAGTATTGTCTTCATATGGGCAGTTCTAAAAAACAGGTTTTAAGAGATTTTTTTTTTTTAATTTATTACTGAAAGTTAAAGTTTTCATTAAAAATGAGAGGGAGCAACTTTAAAAAAATAAAGTTTTTAATGCAAAAGTTGAAAAAAAGAGAGAGAAAAAAAAATGGTTTCTACAGTTTTCAAAATGGTTAGCTTTAGTTGGTAGTTTTTAAATATCATATTTTTATATATATAACAACTTGCTTGTTCTGATTAATATCAAAAATTGTTTAAAATTTGTCAGCATGCAGTTAAGAAATATTACTATGTGTTGTCTGGAGCATGCAGGTTGCCTGGAATTTCATATATACTGAATAGTCCATATTAATTACATGGAGATTTGGACCTTAATTGAACTGGGACTTGAATTATCATGAATGCATTGATATTCTTTTAATCTGTGAATATTCAATGTAATAACATATATAAACATTCATGACATCCTTTATTTTGTAATGTCCTTCTTTGCTCTATTTGAAGATTCAAATTTAAGACAAATATCTTGATTTATGCAATGTGTGCCTTAGATTATGCACATGAGTTGACACCAAATGTTTTTTTCCTTACAAAGTTGTAAATATTTATAACATCTGGTGGCAATCTTACCACAGGGAAATAATGACTGAAAAAAGAAATCTTCATCTTGTGTAAAATAAAACATATTTGGAGTGTCTTTAAGCATTTATTAAAGTGCATCTATTCTTGAGTATAAATTTTTAAAGGAAAATATTTTTTTGTAAGTTCTCCTCTTACAGTCTTAGGTCCTGATAGAAATACTTTGATTCAGGACATGTCTCCTTGCAGACTGTCTTGAAATGATTATGTCTCCGAGGGGCTTATCAGGGAGATCTGAGAGTTTTCCGTTGTCAGTCTTTTGTAGTCTATCTAAAAATTATATCATACTGAGGTATATAAAAAAAGACAACCAGTAAATCAAAAACAAATTCCACTGCCTCATTCAGTGGCGAGAATTAGCACAAGGCTTGTCAAAAAAGAGGAACATCTGCATATTAAATTTTTTTATCAGTAAATACCTGTATGTAAAGTAAAGAAGTAAATTTGTATAGGTTATTTGTAAGGCTTTTGTTCTGTCTTCTTGTCAGGTATGCAAATAATCCGATATTTGACCATCATGTTCATGGTACGTTGAACGGACTGACTAGAAAGCTGTGAATGAGTCAAGGGTGGTGACCAAAAATCTCCAAACATGAATGGAAAAAATCACATACACATTGATCATGTTGATCAACATTTCCTTTTTTTTTCTTTTGAATTGTAATGTGCATAAAAAAGTCTTCATTTCCTTGTAGATTTTTAGAAAGTTATTTTCATAGTCAGTGACCATGTCCAATAGTTATTATTTTATGAATTTAAACGAAATTTATGTTGAAAATCTTGTAGATTTGAAAACAAAACACAAAAAGAAAAACAAACAAACAAACAAAAGAAAAAAAGCAAAAAAAAAAAAAAATTGAATAGGAAAGATTTATAATACATTGAAATGGCTCAACTGAAACTACTGATAACTATAGAAACTAATTATTTTATATATTTATTACCCATTAGGGCCTATTAACGTCCTGTGTGTGGTGTAGTTTATTTTTTGCTTATATTTTTTATTTTTTATAAATACCTATTCCACAATTAATTCTCCTGTCATGTTTGGGGAGGACATGTTTATTGTTTGGTTACGGATTATCAAGGTCTTATAAAGAAAGGACACAAGGATAAAATTATTTGATGAATTAGAAATTAATGAGTGGCACTTATGAGAAACCTGGGCAGGTCATTGGACATAGGTTAGACAAATTGATGGCTGTTTTTTTTCCTCATAGCACAGGAATTGTTTTTCAGCAACCTTCATTCCTATTCAGTTATTTCTATATCTGTGTTAATGAATGTTTGGGATTCAGAACATTTAATGTGCTGTATGAAATTAGCCAATATGATAAAGAAACATTTCAGTTACATTGAGAAACTTTTTTATTCTAACTAGATGACACATTAGAGAGACACATTATTGTTTGTAAACTTATTAGATGTAGATTGTAATAATTTGTTTTAAATCAGTTTTGTAAAAAAATTTTGCAGAAGGAATTTAATTGCACTTTTCAAATGTTTTCATTCCATTGACATCCTAGTTAGTATTTAAAGAAGTTCTGGTCTTAATCTATATTTATCTATTCTGGTTTATATCAGTTTTGTTTTTCCTTTCTTTTTTTCAAAATTAAATATGTATTCAGATAAGAATAAGTTATTATTTCTATATATTATAAATAATTTTTTGGGGGGGGACATTAATATGGACAATTTAGGTTAAAGGTATGATATTGATATTTATGGAGTTTTTTGGAGCACTTTAGTTATACATTTATACCCACTTAAATCGCAGTCCTCTTTTAAAATAGGTTAAATAGGTCCTGTATTGTAGAATGAATGTTATCAGGTCTTAGTTGTACTGCAATAATATCTTACCAAGAACATTCACACCTATTCAATCTCGTAGAAAGATCAATTAGAGTTAATCAGTTAGAGGGCTGAAAAGACTGAATAGTATCGATGAAATGTAAATTGAGTACAATGTTTAAATATCTGTCTTTTTTTAAGTTAAGGTTTGTGATTGATTAAGATGGAAGGAGTAATGATTTGTATGTCAAATATTTGTGTCAAGTTACTGACAGCCTTCAGCCATTAGGGAATCCGATCAGAGATTTACATCTTTACATTCTGTTGACTGTGGCATCCAAATTTCACGGTACTAAATTTCTCACATGGCTGTGTTTCTATGTCTCCCAGTGTACAGGGGTAACAATGATGTT